AATGCATGGTTTTTGTTGGGGGACCACAAACAGGGACTCCCCACAAGCTTAAAGGATCCGGTTAGAATAGATTGGACTCTAATTAGGATTACAATCAAAACAGAACCACCGTGAAACAAGAGGTAGGCAGCAACTTGCTTTGGGGCAACACCGAAGTTTGCAGAAGTATAGCAACTATTTTTAAAAACCAACAACCACACACCACAACCCAACGCAATAAAGATTGAGCATGCTCAGTAGCCATGTGTCATGAACTGGCAGGATAATGGGGAAGAAGAAGATGAGGAGGATCTCAGACAGGGGTGTAGCTGGGACTGGGACACACCGGGACAAGCAGGGGATGGGTAAGGAAGTACTCACAGGGTGACAGAGGATAGCAAGGGGATGGGAGTCAATGCACAGGAACCAGAGCAGCAGGACCCATCAGCAGAACCTGAAAGGCCCCTGTCTCCACAAAGATGGTGGGCTCTGAGGTGTAGGGAGCAGGCTCTGAGGTGAAGCTGGCCAGGTGAGGCTCGTTAGCTCTAGGAGGTGGTGTGGGAATTGTCGTTTGGAGTAGACCTGGAACAGGTGAAGGTCACATGCCTAATCATGCCCAGATGCTGCAGTCAGCATGCCAAAGTACAAAGGGGAAGCAGAGCTGAGGTGCTATGTCTGCTGAACTGCCCATGTTGATGGAAACTACAACTATTATTATTAATAATAATAATAATAATAATAATAATAAATAATATGCCACCTATCTGACTGGGTTGCTCCAGCTACTCTGGGAAACTCCCAACAAAATATTAAAAACAGAATAAAACATCAGCCATTAAAAACTTCTCAGGGCTGCCTTCGGATGTCTTCTAAAAGTCTTCTGTGTGGTAGGCTGTGCTTTCTTATTTTGCCTTACTTATCAACACCCACTTCCTCGCAGGCAGGGTCTCTGAGAAAATAATTTCCATCTAAAAACAAACAGAAGCTGGAAGAGTTTATGGAGGAACCCATCTTTCAAGGACATTTCCTTTCCAAACTGCACAATACGAGCTCAGAGCAGGGGAAATAAATACAAACTTAATCCCTCTGCATTCCAGCCAAGACCTTCTGTTTTCTTTTCTCAGCTTTGAAGGCAATGCTGAGGAACACTAGGAAGAGGTCTCAAAAAAAGAAAAAACATTGCGCTCCAATCTACAAAGGAAGTTATGTCCTTCGTATTTCGCTTCCTTTAAATATCAGGCATTGCCTGAAAGTATCCTTGTCCCCCTCCCTGCCTCCCCTTTACACTGTTTTCCATATCTGCTCTGCAAATATCTGTGGTATTTAGCACTTGTAGTTTCAGCTGGAGAAGACTGTTGGAAGATTCAGGACAGGAAAAAGTAAAGGACCTCACATAGAATTTGCTCTCCCAAGTTGGATTGACAGCCACCAACTTAAATGCCTTTAAGAGTGAATTAGACAAACTCATGGCGGACAAGGCTATCAATAATTGCTGTGCTCTATCTCCACTATTGGCACGTGGGTGGCGCTGTGGGTTAAACCACTGTGCCGCTTGGGCTCGCCAATTGAAATGTTGGCGGTTCGAATTCCCACAACGGGGTGAGCTCCCATTGTTCCGTTCCAGCTCTTGCTAACCTAGCAGTTTGAAAGCACACAGTGCAAGTAGATAAATAGGTACCACTTCGGTGGGAAGGTAAACAGCGTTTCTGTGTGCTGCTCTGGATTTGCCAGAAGCAGCTTAGTCATGCTGGCCACATGATCTGGAAAAAACTGTCTGCGGAAGCGGACAAATGCTGGCTCCCTCGGCCTTTAAAGTGAGATGAGCACCGCAACCCCAGAGTTGTTCGCAACTGGACTTAATTGTCAGGGATCCCTTTACCTTTACCTTTTTATCTCCACTATCAGAGGCAAAGTGCCTTTGAATAGTTGCTGGGAATCAGATGTTGGGAGAATGCAGTTGCACTCAAGTCTTTCTTGCAGGTTTCCCATAGGCATCTGATTGGCCCCTGTGAGAACAGGATGCTGGACTAGATGGACCATTGGCCTGATCCAGCAGGCTATTCTTATGTACTTAACTCCCTAAGTTTAAAAATTAAGACCTGGGTGTTTCTCAGCAAGGCACACTGTAGGCACCGCAGAATGACTAATAACTGACAATTGACAAGAGTCAAAGCTATAATCCACTGCCCTGAGTCAGTGGCTCAAAGAAATATCTATCTAGGTGTTTTTTGGTCCAATTTCTTTAAAGGTGTTCAGATGACCCCCCCCCCCGCATTTACTGAGCGAGGGAGTGGAATCCTGCCCAACAGCTCCTTTGCTACCAATGTGCCCACCAGCTACATCCCATGGCCATGCGAAAGGGCCTTTTCCATGTACTGATGTATGTATATAGATCTCCTCCACATGAGGAAACCTGATTTCAATATCGGGGGGAAGGGAGATCACCTCATGGAGTCACATGAATTTGAAAGGCTGTTGGGAACACTGCCAAGAAACTGGGGGTCACCAGGGGCAGGAAGAGAGTTTAACAACCCAAACATATGGTGAGCACAAACCTTTACTATCTCCCATACCAGTGAATGGGCTGTCGTGTTCTCCTAGGCAAAAAGAAAAGGTATTCCTCCACCTCTCGTAGGTTTGCCTTTGAAAAGGCTCCCACAGGAGTGAGGAGCTCCTGTCATGGTGTTAGAAGCCTCCAAGCTAGGGATCCATATTGTGGAAGTCCAGAATAAACATCTAAATGGCCAGCAGATGCATAGTTTTAAATTTAGTTTTCCCAAGATAAATTCCAGATCAGACCAGGCTTGGGAAGAATTCGCTCATCTCTTATCGTACCACCACCCAGGGGCTGCGTTTCAATTATTGCATTTTCTTCCTTTAAGACAGATCTTGCAAAGAGGCACTGGATAACCTTTGCTGTGCTTTATCCATTCTTCTGTTCTCACAGCCTGCATGGCTGAATAGTAGTTTTCTCCCAGTTGTGCAATGTATATTGATGGAAGAGTTCCTGAAACTATAAAATGTGGTCATTTCCAGCTTTGTTTTGGCTAGTTATCTATACACAAAGCTCAACATAAATTGCACCCTATCAATTTCCTGATATTTCCCACAACTCCTTGATGCCCTTTATCACAGCATATAGATGGAGCATCTTCTCCCTTTTAGGTATCGTCTGCCCTCCGGAGGCCAACCTGTTGTCAGTTTTAAGCAGAACGCTGTGATCGATTAACGGCAGCCGCAGTTTGGTCGGCTGCTCTTTGTGCTGCAGATTACAGGTATCAACATATTCTACTGCTAGCCCCGCTCTAGTAGCGAGCCTGAAGCAGCAGATCTAACCAGCAGAGGGAGTGTGGTGTTAGTAGGTTAAGTTGCATCGTTTTTGTGGCTGTATTTTTTTTACAAGCTCCTTATTAAAAAGACGTTTTGCTTCTGTAAACAAACAAACCCCTGCATAGCTGTAAAATGAAGATAAGGGAAAGCAGACAAGTCCTTAAAATGAAGCAGCTCGGGAGAGGAATAATCTTCCTTAGGTTCCTAGGAACCATATTTCTTAGGTTCACATTTCTGATCAGCTATACAGACACAGCCTTAATTGTAACCACACTTATTCCATTCCATAACATTACATGGGAAGTAACAAGTGTGAGCTGCAACAAAATTGCGGTGCTGCTCCTCAGGTTTCCAGCCTCCTCCCCACTCAATTGCATTACCTAACCCCACTGCACCAATAATCAGTATTTTGTGCCCACTAAGTATGCTCAGACCTCACTCAGATTTTTTTTTTTTTTGCTGGGGGGGTGGGGGCTCTCTTCTGTTGTTTTTTCATACACTGCAGGGATTTTATTTTATGTTTATGCTAGTTGGATGTGGGACGCGGGTGGCGCTGTGGGTTAAAGCCTCAGCGCCTAGGACTTGCCGATCGAAAGGTCGGCGGTTCGAATCCCCGCGGCGGGGTGCGCTCCCGTCGCTCGGTCCCAGCGCCTGCCAACCTAGCAGTTCGAAAGCACCTCCGGGTGCAAGTAGATAAATAGGGACTGCTTACTAGCGGGAAGGTAAACGGCATTCCGTGTGCTGCGCTGGCTTGCCAGATGCAGCTTGTCACACTGGCCACGTGACCCAGAAGTGTCTGCAGACAGCGCTGGCTCCCGGCCTCTAGAGTGAGATGAGCGCACAACCCTAGAGTCTGGCAAGACTGGCCAGTACGGGCAGGGGTACCTTTACCTTTACCTTAGTGGGATGTGCCCATTGCTGCCTGGGAATTTTTGGAAACCTAAAAATATGTTTGTTAAATGGATAGCGTAATTTGCGAGTTTGGACTTGCGATGCCACAAATCTGAAGTCATGCCAAAGTGATGTTTTGGTCTACATTGATTCAAAATGGTGCTTGGCACCCAAAGGGCAATAAAGTCTGTCAGCTCCACCTTGGGAAGCCTTGTGCCGAGTCTGGTGATAGTATCTTGAGAGGCGGCTGAACTTAAGCCCCAAAATGGGCAGAGTCAGGATAAAGTCACGTTTTGCTCTACCATCTTGATTCAAAATGGCAGCCAGCATCCAAATGTTGACTAAAGCTGCTGCTCCCATAAGGTGAATACTCATGTCATGTTTGGTGATGATGATCTCAACAGGTGTCCATACCTACATAGAACAAACAGACAAACCACTTTCCAAAATATATAGATGTAACATATGTTAGTGTGTGTTACTGTAGTCTTACAACTCCTACAAACATTAGGGTTTTCCCAAGCCTTATATTGCCTTCCTGTGTATGGATGATGCCATTATTGCTGTAAAAAGGATAGGCACTCATATAATGAGTTTATTATTAGTATATATGATTAAATTATTAGGATTGCAACTTTAGCTTCAGTTCATAACCCATAGAATAAGGATAATATAGCCTTGCCTCACAAGGTTGTGAGGAATTCTAGAATTGTAGAGTTTGAAAATATCCCAAGTGTAATCTAGTCTAAAATCCTGCAATGTAGGAAACTTTCCTATGGAAGAACAAGACAATCAAAATGTAAAAATCTTCAAAAGTACTTTATTGAGACATTCAGCTATGTCTGTCAGTCTACATCCAAATTCACTACTAAAAAATAAAGTAATGTCACATTTCACATTAGGTACAACAACTCTCGAGAAAAACAAAAAATTGAGCCAAGCCTAGTGTATAAATAAGTGACTAGTTCCTTTTCATATCAAAATTCACATAAAAAATTGCCAGCTCCCATCCCTCCCACATCCCTAGTTCTACCTGAAAGCCATGATGAATGTAAAAATTTAAATACACACACATTTTTGTCAAAGAAGGGGGAAAGGGAAGAAAAAGGTGCAAATCCTATTAACAGCTTTAGGAGTGGCATTTGCGGCGTTTGATCATACAATTGATGTACTCATTCCCAAAGGTGCAAATATTGCCAGGAGATTAATACTGCTTCAATTCATCTGCAAGAAATTATACACTACACAGAACTCAACAGCACTGAGAGGCTTCAATCAGCACCATAAAACTCCTCCCATTTCTCTCTTGCACTCACTGGTGGAGGCCAGACAGAAAGTTCACCGGAGCTTTAATGACTTCACACAGCCCATGCTGTCCAGAAAGTTCATGAACAAAAAAAGGTTTTCTAAAACATTGAAGTGTTTAAGACTCCATCATAAAAATTCAAGAGTTGCTATAGATTACATGAATGCAAATGCCCTACCCCGACATGCCCAAAGCACCACACTCGACTTACTTGAGTGCTGCCCTGTCCCAACACAATCCTTGATTTGTTTATTGTTACTTCTGAGATCTACAGGAGTTGTGTCACTGTTCTCGACTGAGCTCCGCTCACTGTAGAAAGACAAGGCCAAGGATATGGACTCAAACCTCTATTGCCCTTGAATTTTATTCTCCCTTTTCCATTTAAACAACACTGTCTTTTATTTTGATCTCTCTTCCTCTCTTTCCACTCACACCCCAACATCCTCACATTTGTTCCCCACCTCCCGCCGCCCAACTTTCCCTTCCAACAATACTCAGTTTTGATTTCCAGTTTCTGCCCTTTTGCAACATGGTGGCAGCTTCTAAGGTAGTTTCCAGTGGAACCCACTGGCAGCCCTGTAAACGAAGCAGCTCACAGAAAATCAGCATAGGATATCATAAATACATTTTGGCCAGCATTCTGAGAGTTAAAACTTGTTCGAGACAAATAAAGGGTTTAAGATTCCGTCTGCCAAATCAGGAGCTCCTGGAGTGCTTAATTCTTCCACCAGCGCCCGCCTGTTCAATTCTGGATGCAGCTCCCTAGGTCTCGCGTTGCAACTTCTTCCCGTTCTTCAGCCGGCCTTTTGGCGGCAGTTTCCCCCTGGCCAGACTCACTGGAAGATGCAGTGTCCAGACTGACAGAGTCATCCTTCACATTGACAGAGTCCTGCAGGGAGCCTGATCCTTTGGCAGCTTGTCCATTGTCACTAGGTTTGCCTCCTGCCCTTTCCTGGTGCTCTACACCAGCGGGCTCAGTGGCTTGTTGCTGAACAGTGTTTTGTTCTGCTCCGGGATTTGGTTGTGGCACAGGCTCCAATCCTAGCCCCGGGGGCTGAGTGGGGTTTTTAAGTTGGCAGTGGCACAGGGGGCAGGTTTCTTGCACATAAAGCCATTTCTTAAGGCAGCCCGCATGAAAGAAATGGCCGCAAGGCGTGATGATAGCAGATTTCATGTCCTGAAAGAAAGAAGGCAGAAGGATCACACAGCGCCCAAGCAAACACGCAGAGTCCTGAAGCTACCCTAAAACTCAGCATGGACTGCTAAAAGGTAAACCACAATGACCCAACTGCCCATGTTCAGTTGTCACCCTTTATTCATACACAGAGGAGAGTTGCTTTATATCTATGCATTAGTAACACACGAGAACAGCAGAGCACAAAGCATAATATTTCATTCTAGGCAAGTAGGCTAAATTTTAATTACTAAGGATTTGCAGTGCAAGAACTACATAGACACAGCTGGATGAATGCCACAATTCTGTGCAGAAACAGCATGTCCCATCACCCTTTGGCTAGCATGATAAGTCACTCTCCCAACCTTTGAACAGGAAAGGGAGACGAGCAGAGGCGCCAGCTTCTCCAGACAATTGAGGGGGTCTGATGGGATGTTCTGACGTCACATGTGGAGCCTACTGAATATTGGGGGGCCCAGCCCCCTAAAAATAAGATGGGGGGCATAGTGCCTTGGCCCCCAGGAGCCAGCGCTCTTGGAGATGAGGACAGTGTACTGGGCTTCTGAAGTTCTTTGAAAGCCTTCAAAACGCAGCACAACTGCAAGATTATCTCCACTCCCCTTTTCCAGTTCCAAGCTTGGAAAGGGCCTGCTGCTTTGGCGCTCTATTTCCAAGGTAATGAGGGTTCCTCAAAAGTGCAGCATGATTGCTGGAATGCCCCCAACCTCAGCTCCAAGCTTGGTGCTGGAGAAGGTCCCTCACACTGATTGTCGGGCAGTGCAGCATGAGGTCAGGGAGAGGGTACCATCCCTGGAAAAAGCAGCAAGTTCCTGGCACAATTTCTGGTTGGCCACCAAGACTAGCCAAAATATGCAGATGCCTGCCTGAAGCATTTTTCACTGGCAGTTCCATTGAACCTGGATCCTTATATATGCAGTACATGTCCTCTACTAGTAACCTGTGGCTTGGATTTGATGCTCCTAAATTGTAGCTAGGAAAGTACAAGAAGCTTTGTATTCCAAGAGCCATCAATTCAACCACTTCATTCAGATCCAACACGCACTCTTAGGAAGAAAAGACAGTTTTTGGGGAGTTTAAAGCACAAATGTGGAAGTGTGGCTTCCAGGTTTATTTTAACTTCATTATTAATGCTCACTTAAAAGACTAGATCTAATTTAGATAATTGGCCTTTTAATTTCTGCCCAACTGGTTCTTCAGGGACGCAGTGAACAGGCCTCAGAGATTAAATTGTTCTTGCAAAGTCACTGGGCAGGAGTTTGGAGAAACTAGTTGAGACTGTGTGCGAAGGAACCCAACAGCCTCCCTGCATCTCTGGGTGGCTACAGACATCGGCTGCAAAGCAAGTTGTCAGTGCAAGCTTATCAGCATACACATCACTCAATTTATTTCAGGCACAATTGTCAAAGTGAGATCTTTATAAAGCAGTTACATTTGTTTCAAAAGATACGACTTCAAGACGAATTAAAATGTGAAGCTTTTGTTTATTTAAAAAACTATGTTGGATGCATCTTACAAAATTACAGGCATCCTCTGCCTTTGACCACTTTTTTTGTTTTGTTTTTAATTGTGACTGGTGAAGAGACTAGCCCAGCTCAAACATTTAACTGGGCTGGTGCTACAATTTGCACGGTGGAAGTAGTGCATAACAAAATGTGTGATGTGAGTATACTATTTGAAGTCTTGGAAATATAATGACCCTATCTACTACTCATCTGCAGAGGGAAGAATCATACATGTCAGGTCATTGTGCAGACAGGCTGGCAAATCATAGAATTATAGAACAGGAAGGGACCCCAAGGGTCATCTAGACCAACCACCTGCAATGCAGGAATCATAGTGAAGGGGCAGCCTTGCTCCCACTCCTCCATTGCACAGGTGGAAGTGCTAGCCCTGCAGGTATCTAAACAGGACAATTGTACTGCAATTTTATGTTGTGAACTGCCCTAAGATCAATGGATGAAGGGCGGTTTACAAACAACAATAGTAACAGTAGTAACAGTAGTAACAGTAGTAATAAATTCCCCAGCTCAATTCATTTATAACCCAATTCAAAGGCAGAAACTCCAGCTCTTCCAACAAAATACCATAAGGAAACAGAACAATATCCACAAAAGTACCATTTCAGAAGAGCTACACACCTGATAGCAGATGGCACAGATATCATTGTGTTGTTCCAACTGGTCTTTGGTAGCAGTGGGCAGTGATTTGATCTTATTCACAGCATCCCTGCGGAGAAGAAAACTCTTCCATCCCAACTGAGCACGAAGCCACACATTGTAATAGGAATGAATGAAGATGATCATTGAGCCCATCACAGTCCATTCTCCAAAGATGGTTTCCGACACACCATAGGCAACGACACAGAGAGCCACTAGGAACTCTAGCAGTCGATAGGTGCCATTCACATAGTAAATTACATCATCCATGTTTTCTACCGGCTCTCTCCTGAACTCCTCAACCATAAACAAGACATAAATGAAGAGTGTTCCAAGCACCTGGAGCAAGAAAAAATGACACTGATTTAAAAAGGGGACTGAGTCACAAAGCTAGAACTTCTCAATATTATGTTTGCACGGGTGAAGAATATAGATACCTAATCTAACAATGCACTTGCATAATGATAAATATATAATTGATATATTTAACAAGACAAACTCAAGGCTTAATTTTTTTTATTAAAAAAAGTGGAACACTATATATTAATGATTTATGTATTTTAAGTGGAAGTCTGAATTTCAATGTTAAGAGTTTCAACACAAATACATTATGGCATGATCAGGATAGCTTAAGTTACATGTAATATTGCTAGATACACTCCAGCCATTAAGTAGTTTTAAGGCTCACTGATTTCAGCAGGAGAGATTTGAGCACAAGGTCAACTCTGCTGTTAAAAATCAATGGAAAGTGCTCTGCTTTAGCTGGGTTCTGTCCAACTGTTTGACATAGATGGTTTATGTTTAAACTTCCTTAGTAATGGGAGTTTTCTAAATTGGTATATCTGTCATGCCACCCATTACAATCTGTAAATACAAATGCCCTGTACTTGGGCCTGGAACACAGACCAAGCTTGATGGAAAAGACATATTCTTTCAGTCTGTATTCCCAACAGCAACTTGGTCAACACCTTGCATTCTGCTTTCCAGCTCTGGTTTTCTAATCCTTTCCCAGCTTGTTCCACACAAGGCCTTGCTGCCAGGTACGAACTAAAAAATAATTAACAGCATACAGGAGGCCATTATACCTTACCTGGAGGGAGGTGAGAATGCTGCTAGAAATGATGATCAGTAACCAGAAGTCCATGTGGAAAAACTGACAGATCATGTAGGCCATGTAAGCTGGGAAGACCAGCAAGAACAAGCACAGGCTCACAGCGCGAAAATGCTTCCAAAGGCTCCTGTAAAAAGAAACACAATTTTAAAATTAAAAAGGGCCCTGGCTTTAGTCTTCAGTGACTTGCTGAGTAGCATCGTCTCAGTGGGGACCATCACAATCCTTGCAGAAGAAACCCAGCATCCAATGGACACCCAATGGAGCTGAATGTTTGAAAATTAAAGACAAGTAGTAAAAGAAAGCACTTCTTCATGCAATGTGTAGTTGAAATTGTGGAATTTGCTCCAGCAGGAGGCAAGGATGGCCCCCAACATGGACAGCTATAAAAGAGGATTAAGCAAATTCATTGGGGAGAAGGCTATTGGTGACTACTAGCCACAATGACTATGTGCTACCTCCATAGTCAGAGGCAATATGGCTCTGAATACTAAGAACTGCAGGTGGGCAGAGTGTCGCTGCACTCATGCCCAGATGGCAGACTTCATAGGGCATCTGGGTAGCCTCTATGAGAGCAGGATGCTGGACTAGAAGGGCCACTGGCCTGATCCAGCAGGCACATATTATGTTCTTATGTAACAACCCACTTAACTTTTGAACATGATTGTCTTTTCGTTTCAGCAGCCGGGGGAAAAGCACTCAGTTAGCTTTATTAAAGTAGCATTATTGAGTGCCATGTTGCTTCTCTCATTCGTGACCTACTTCAATGGAGGAAGACTGCATGCCCCACCCTCCGAAGGGGTTATCTCTCTGTAACAGTACATAAGCATAAAGCGGACACACAGATATATCGCTATCTCCTGGGGGGAAAGGAACCCACAACTCCAAGCTACAGCAGTGTCTGTGTAGAGAGGACTTGCATACTTCATGAAAATACCAAGGCGCAACATCTGGATCTTAAAATTTAAGGACACCACCCATAGCCATTTCTAGATCTTCTTTCCCCAGCCTAGTTTGTACCTGGCAGAGCTGAGTTACAGCCTGCTGCCAGCAGAGCCAATTTATAGGAGCCAGCTATGCATGCCGCAGCTCTGATATTCCCTTTTCCCTCAGCTAATAAATTTAGCATTTAACATGCTCCAACAACCTGTGCTGGCCACAAGTAACCTCTAAGCAAAACAAACAGACACAGTGGATATAAATAAGCCTTCTTTTATTTACCACACTTTCAGGCTACACAGACGAGAGGAAGACAAAGCTACAGGGAACGGTGGCAAGGTACAAAAAGCCAGAGCTTCTAACCAGGACATTTTTTAAAAAAACCCTCAAATATTATGCATTAGGTCACAGGTAAGATGCAACACTAAAGCAATTTTAGTCCCAAATTCTTGCTGTTCTAATAAATCAACTTCAGGTTTCTAACCCTTACGCATTTAAGGTTTTCTCTCCCCACTCCTCTGATTTATGGTCCTCAGTTGCTGTGCTCACTTTCTGCTATGTATTCATTCGGTTGCTATTGGTCGACTTGGTTCCGTACTCCAAATCCCACCCTTTGCACCTCCTGCCATGCTGCTCCTTTTCAGTGCTAACTCAATATACTATTCAAAACTTCTACATAAGAACATACACACAAAAAATAAACTTAGGCAGACATTTAGCAGAAGAGCTGTTAATCCTCATGACATTATTTTAGTATTTTATAGCTGCATTAAAATACGGTGACTACTAAGATTGAGAACTACTCCCATACATTATAAATAGCACCAGAGAGAGCAGAGAGGACTGAACAGGGAGTACCTGTATCCCACTTCTTTTCAGCTGCTAAGGATCTAAGCCTTCCTTCCAGACACACAGGGCTGGTTCAAATGAAACAGAGACTAAGATTTCAATGAGCCTTGGGATCAGCTGTTCCCTTCTCCCTTGCATTGTGCAGTGGTTTGCTCCTGTATTCCCAAGTTTGAGGCAAACCTCTGCTTGCTGTTTTGCCCACACTGACAAACTATGGTTTGTGCATGCTCTGCCAACCAGGATCGTAAGCCCCATAGTTGATCAGTTCAAAGGAAATGGCAAGCAGGAGTTTGCCTCAACCAGCAAAGCAATCATCATGCATGAAGGAAGGAAGGAGTAAGTGAGCCTGATGACCCTTGAATGCTCATTCTCATATTTTGAAGCCAAAGTTTGGTGCCTAAACTAACAAGCCCATAATCCAAAATCCCACATATATTTACTTGGCAAAGCAAGAATCAATAGACACCACTAGAAAATGCACGGCTTACTTGTCTCTTGAAGCTCCCAGAGCTAAGACAATGGGATCTGCTATCTCAAGCATGGACTGCAGGATGGAAGCAACCACAATGAAGAGAATAATACTGAGCAGGAAGGCCCGGTGAACAACTTGCAGTTCAATCAAGCCAGTCTGCACAGCCAGAATCAAAAGTGTGACTCCTTCCGTCATCCCTCTTCATCACATAAAAGGAAAAAAAGGGGGGAGGGAAACAAGAATAACATTTGTAGTATTAACGAACTTGGCTCAATTTTAGAATTGTACAACGTAACATAGAACTATGCTGTGGGTTTTTGTTGCCTTTTTCATCTGATCCTTTTTCGAGACATTGGCTGTCAGCTGCAAATCCCCAATACAGTGCATTGGTCTTGGAATTTAAATCTCTGTTCACTTGACAGACTTAGGCAAGTCACCATCCATAAAATGGCTGGTGTGAGGTATGTGTGTGGTGGCCCATGGTAGAGCCTTCTCTGTGATGGCCCCCAAACTGTGGAACTCCCTATCAGGAGAGGTGTGTCAGGCACCGTCTTCTGTACAGCTTTAGGCAGTCACTTTTCTTTTGGCCTTTGATAGCTAAACTATTTAGTTGATATGTATAATATTATTCATTTATCTAATTTATGAATCGCTTCCCATAAAACATCCTGAAATGATTTAACAATAAACTGGGAGGGGTGGCTAACACCCCAGAGGACAGGATCACACTTCAAAACGACCTTGACAGATTAGAGAACTGGGCCAAAACAAACAAGATGAATTTTAACAGGGAGAAATGTAAAGTATTGCACTTGGGCAAAAAAATGAGAGGCACAAATACAAGATGGGGGACACCTGGCTTGAGAGCAGTACATGTGAAAAGGATCTAGGAGTCTTGGTTGACCACAAACTTGACATGAGCCAACAGTGTGACGCGGCAGCTAAAAAAGCCAATGCAATTCTGGGCTGCATCAATAGGAGTATAGTATCTAGATCAAGGGAAGTAATAGTGCCACTGTATTCTGCTCTGGTCAGACCTCACCTGGAGTACTGTGTCCAGTTCTGGGCACCACAGTTCAAGAAGGACACTGACAAACTGGAACATGTCCAGAGGAGGGCAACCAAAATGGTCAAAGGCCTGGAAACGATGCCTTATGAGGAACGGCTAAGGGAGCTGGGCATGTTTAGCCTGGAGAAGAGGAGGTTAAGGGGTGATATGATAGCCATGTTCAAATATATAAAAGGATGTCACATAGAGGAGGGAGAAAGGTTGTTTTCTGCTGCTCCAGAGAAGCGGACACGGAGCAATGGATCCAAACTACAAGAAAGAAGATTCCACCTAAACATTAGGAAGAACTTCCTGACAGTAAGAGCTGTTCGACAGTGGAATTTGCTGCCAAGGAGTGTGGTGGAGTCTCCTTCTTTGGAGGTCTTTAAGCAGAGGCTTGACAACCATATGTCAGGAGTGCTCTGATGGTGTTTCCTGCCTGGCAGGGGGTTGGACTCGATGGCCCTTGTGGTCTCTTCCAACTCTATGATTCTATGATTCTATAAGAATTTCAACAATAAAAATGCATATAAATACAATTGCATGTCCGATAGGGTTACAGAGAACGCTATTGTATTTGGGGACAGGGTTGTTTTTAATCTTTCTTGGTGCCTTGTATTTTTCTTCTAGATGTGACCTACCCTGAGACCTTACAGTGAAGGGCAGCTGACAAATTTAATCACTAGCAATTAATATAAACTAATAATGATCACATGGACCCTACATTACAGAGCTGTGAGACTTAATACAACTGCACATATCCTGTAAAATACAATATAGGTACCAGAGAATGTTTTTCGACATCTTGTCTTCACCTGAAATGATCCTGGATCACTTCTGATCTCTTTGATCCTTGGCTCATTTTTGAGTACAATATATATGCTTATGTAACAATGTAAGATTTCAGCATTCTAGAAATTTTGTACCACTAATGTTTATCAATTCCTATTTTTATGCCAAGCCATTGTTGGGAGAAAGGAAGCTATTTTCAGCTGTCTCTCCTTGTAATTTAAACAGGCTTTCAGGATGAAACAAAATTACTTTGGTTGGCACACAGAAGAGAAAGGAAGGAAACTGTGGTATGAAGGGAGGGAGGAGAACACAGGTTATTACGTATCACAAAATGATATCACAATGTGCCTGGTGCTTTGGGGAGCTAAGGAACACCAGATCCAACTCTGAGAAGCCTACAATCTAAAACCGGGGACGTGAGAACCAAGGGCAACTGACTAGGGCTACTCATCAAGATGGCGAGCAAATGCAGGTGTACATTCATTAAAACATTACAAGGGAACTGCAGGCTGAAGTAAGAAGAATTGTTGAAGGAGGGATGGGGAACCTGTGGCCCTCCAGATGTTGCTGGAGTGCAATTTACACCAGCTCTGGCCAATGGTTGTTAGTTGAAGTTGACGTGCCACAAGTCCTACACCCCTGTGTTAAAACAAAGCTCTGGGGGAGGCGCTTGAAGAGGATTTTTTCCCCTTTCAGGTTGGGGTGTTCTGGCAGGGAGCAAAAAATATAAAAGGCAAAAGTGAGGCAAACTGATAATGCAATAAAAGCTTAGGAGAAAAATTACCATCAGATGTGCAAAATAACTTTTAAAGCTCTCTGCTTTGCTTACTGGGCTCTGGGAAGTGCCTGTGTGAGCTATGGAGGCTCTTGCAAGATCTCCAATGGTCCCCTGCTCTTCTGCCCCCCCCCCCCAAATTCAGCCAAGCATATAAAGCTGCGATCGTGTACGTAAAACTTGAGCAAGTTGCAATCTTCTTGGAATGCACTGCAAAAGAGCTACGCAGCATGTCTCTTAGGGAGAAAGGTACAAGATAGCCTATATTTCAGTGTCAAATCCAATAACAGTAGGACCTGAGCAATATAGTAAGCTATTTTTGTGGCGATTTAGAAAGATTCTACTATGCTGTGCTCAGCCTAACTAAACACAGCCTAAGTTGTCAAAGGTTTAAGCATCCTCTGCTGTGCACTTACCTGTTCATAGCTGGGTCGTTCATGAATGCTCGGTAGCCTTGCAGGTAAAACTTGCAGAGGGTTAGGACTCCAAGTGCCACGAAGGAGACTGTAAACACCAAACCCAGGAGGGAATAGGGAGTGCTGCAGCATTCTGCAATACTAGGAAGGAGAAAATGCAGCTGAATTAGATCTTTGTGCATAGATACACAGAAGAGGTTTGATGCGGCTAAAACAGACACAAGGAGAACAATAGAGTAAGAATAGGAGGGGAATGGAGACAGGGGCAAGCAGGGGAATATCAGTATGAATCAGTCTATTGCCATATTCTATAAATACTAATGCTGAAGCTACACATCTAGCATAGCAGTGAAATCCTAAAGCATTTCTACTCAGAATGGGTACACACATATCACGAAGCAATATTCAACTATTGGAGATATTACTGGAGATGTGTATTACAAGATAGTACCATTGAGGCAGGGGGTCCAGTCCGCTTATATTTTGATAATAAGTCGTTCATTGATGAATAGAAATTAATACTTTTAGTTTGCTCATTGATGTTTCAATCCAAAAGAGTCCAGTTAGATGCAAGGTTATACCAATGCATTTATACATCAATTCCCATTTAGCCAAATATTAGACACAAGAAACCAATTGTGGGGCACCAACATTGAAGGGTTTCCATTAGTAGTTTCCATTCCAACATACAAGGTTTCCAATAGTAGTTGACAAGGTATTTTCTCTACACGATTTCCAGTGTCAGTCTGCATGAGCCCAAAGATGTCTGCACAATACAAGTCTACTATGATTGTAAAATTATAAATTAAGCTGCCGCATGAGGGTTTGGGTCCATTCTGATGTGTTACTCTGCAATCCCATTAAACGGTTTATAGTTATTTATGGTTATTAATGAAACCAAACTTCTTCTTCTTCCTGGAACATGCAGGACTGCAAAAGGCCCTGAGAGACAAAGGCTACAATGACTCCACAAAGCACACTGCAACAGAACCTTTCCTTGGGGTAGAGTGCCAACCACTTTTGATCATTTTGGCTGCTAAACCCTCCAAAGAAGCCTTCTCTTAGATTTCCTCCTGAAAACCATTTACCGAGGGGGGCAAGGAAGGTTAGCAGAAACAAGAACTCCCAATTTCTGTAATTCTTCCTTTAAAAAATAAGGTGGGGAGGATTGCAGGCATACGCATGTATGTGCAAACGCTCTGTGGTGCAGGTTTTGTTGCTTGTGAGGTGAGCCCTGTCACATGTGTAGAAACTTCTATGATGGTGTATATGCCAACAGGTGCATACAGCTTTTGCCACCCTGGTGCCCTCCATATGTTTTAGAGTATAATGTTCTAGCCAGCCATGCTGCTTTACACAGCACAGATTAGCAACAGTCCGCTACAGATTTTTTTGTTAATTACCTGGTTAGAAAGAGAAAGAGTAGCCTCTCCCTAGAGGCAGGTTGATCCCGTGTGCTGAAGTAGGAGTAAATCTGAAGAGCAAACAGTACCAGCCAGAAGACCATGAAGAGGACAGGGACCACCAGCTGGTTCCACAGGGACATCCCAAGGGCCAGGAGGCCATACACTTCAACCACCTGGACAAGTTAAAAGAAGAGAAGATTTTTAATGATTTCCGCTGCCTCCCCAAAATCTAAATATCAGAAGGAGAAAATGGGGATCACTGGATGTAAATAATGAGTGACGGCACAGTTATTCACATTTACTGTCACAACCAAACAGACACTCTGCCAACTATTTTTGCCACATTCCTGTTGACAAATCACAGGTGTCAAATCTGAGCCACCACTTTTACCTTTTTTAAAAAAAGAAGAAAAAAAAGAAAATCATTTTTCAGTTGCAATCTATGGTTCCTAAACTAGCATTTTGATAATTAAGGCACATCTTTGTGTCTTGGCACTTTACTGAGATGATGATGATGATGATGATGATGATAAACGGCCTCGGTCCTGTATACCTGAAGGAGCATCTCCACCCCCATCGTTCAGCCTGGACACTGAGATCCAGCGCCGAGGGCCTTCTAGCAGTTCCCTCATTGCGAGAAGTGAGGTTACAGGGAACCAGACAAAGGGCCTTCTCGGTAGTGGTGCCTGCTCTGTGGAACGCCCTCCCATCAGGTGTCAAGGAAATAAGCAGCTATCCTATAGCTATCCTATTTTTAAAAGACATCTGAAGGCAGCCCTGTTTAGGTAAGTTTTTAATATTTAATGCTGTATTGTTTTTAACACTCGATTGGGAGCCGCCCAGAGTGGCTGCGGAAATTCAGCCAGATGGGCGGGGAATGAATGAATAAATAAATAAATATATATAATACACTCAGTTCTGCATCGATGGAAGGCTTTGAATCTGATCATGCTCTAAGAGTAGGATCAGTAGTGGTTGGGTGTGTGGAACAATATGGGATGGGAAAGCAATTATGGCAAGATCAAAATGCTATCTGAAATGACTAAGTAAAACGGAGGCAAGAAGCTCTGCACAAAACTTCTGTGCTTGAAGTTCAGCTATGGCAATGTGCACAACAGTCTGCTTGGCTTTTTTGAAAGTTCAGCTGTTGCACTTATTTATGGTTAAGAACTACTTTACGGATAACAATGGAAGTACCAGAATATCAAAATGTAGCTTCTCAATGGCTGTTCCTAAATTTTGTGCTCTTTAGCCACTGCTGAGCAGCAAACATGTACTTAGCTGATTCAACTGTTACTTCTGCAATGGAAGCTTTTGCCAAGGTGACTATGCTTGCTGAGATTGGTGGGAGTTGGAGTCCCAACAACATAAGGAGGACGCCACACTGGCTACCCCTGATATGGCATTTTCAACTTTCAACAAGGTGTTTCCCTAATGGGGGGGATAGATAAGGATACACTGCCATGAGCAACTGGAAACAACAGAGGTAGGTTCACTAGACAGAATGCCCAGAAACTCTAATTGCAGCTGGAGGTGGGGACAGGATATGCAACCAGTTTTGCCTATATTCTTCACCCATGTGCTTTCAAGAACTGTAGGGCTCTGGAAATATGGCTGCAAAGCAGTATTTCTGTGTTTTAAATCCTTCTCCTGGATTTGCCCTGCCTCTTCTGGCATTAAAAAAAACTTGGAGGTAACAATGTCACCTCCAAGTCTCAGAAGGAGACATATGAGCAAAATATTGATTTACACTGAATTAATTCAAGCTGAGAAAAGGCAACCAATCAGATCAGTGAGAGCAACTGGAATACAAAGTAAGCAAAATACAGTTAAGCCAACTCTGGGCAAGATTAAACAAGACGAGTTCTAGCCTGGAATATATATTAGACAGACAGACAAACAGACAAACATTTGCTGGATGAGTTCATTGGATCTTTTTTTACTTGTAAGTGTAAAGCCTCAGTTTTTTGTTTTGAGCAATATATATTTTCCCTGTTTCAGAACAAATACAATTCTGATTACAGCATGTTATTTTGTAGAAGTTGTCATGCCCTAACCCTAAATTACACTATATTGGAATCTTAACACAAAGCCAATTCAGAGCTATAATTATGCTCTGATTGCAGGCAGTTTGTCTGAGATGCAATTTGGGGGGAAATTAACTTAGTGACAATTCTGTCCTCTTGTAAACAGCACTCCATTCTCTCTAGCTTACATTACACACAGTTATTCTTAACCACAGGCTTTTATTTATTTATTAGCATCTCTATGATCCAAACAGAAGGTAGTAAGTATCTTCCAGATTGTTTAGATATTCTCAAGTAAATGTCAAGATTTGCACAGGGAATTAACAAAACAGTGGTATGAGTACTGTTTGTCAAGGACAAACACCTTTCTGCAAATGTTGAGTGTGTGTGGCACTGTACTTACCATGCATTAAGATTTCCTGCACAGGTTGCATTAGAAAGCCAGCTTATTTTTAATGCCTTCAAATGAATAAGAACTAAGGCAATCTAAACTATGTACATACAAGTACTTTTTTAAAAAAAGTTGCATTTGTTTTATATTTTTACTATGTCTTTTTCAGTGATCCACCTTGAATAAAGTTTCAGATAAGGTATATCCATCTAAACTACCGTATTTTTAGCTCTATAGGACACACTTTTCCCCCTCCAAAAATTGAGGGGAAATGTGTGTGCGTCCTATAGAGCGAATGCAGGCGCCTTGGCTTCAGCGATAGCAACACTAAGCCTCCGAAGAGCAGAGGGAGCGCTCTCTCCGCGCTCCAAAGGCTTCGCGTTGCTTTCGCTGAAGCCTGGAGAGCGAGAGGCGTCGGTGCGCACCGACCCCTCTCGCTCTCCAGGGATATCCGCGCGCAGCCCCTCCGACAGGGAGAGGCTGCACGTGGCTATAGCTTCTTTAGCCCCGCGCAGCCTCTCCCAGCAGGGAGAGGTTGCACGGGGCTAAAGAGGAAGCCAAAACAGCGAGCGGGATGGATCCCGCTGGCTGCCTTGGCTTGTGCCATAGCCGCACGCAACCCCTCCGGCAGGGAGAGGCTGCACGGGGCTATGGCTTCCTCTTTAGCCCCGCACAACCTCTCCCAGTAGGGAGAGGTTGCTCGGGACTAAAGAGGAAGCCAAAACAGCGAGCGGGATGGATCCCGCTGGCTGCCTTGACTTGTGCCATAGCCGTGCGCAACCCCTCCGGAAGGGAGAGGTTGCGCGCAGTCTGTACGCTGCCCTTTGGGGCTGGGGGGGAAATAAGATTTTTTTTCTAGATCCCCCCCCCCAAAAAAAAACTAGGTATACCCTATGGTTCGGTGCGCCCTATGGAGCAAAAAATACGGTATGTGACAGGACTGTTGTGAGGATAAAAGTGAGGGTTCTCTTTCATTCAGCTTGCCCCCAGTTTCCAGCAGATGTTGTGGGGCCACAGCCAATTACATCATGGATGCCACAGGCAGAGGTACTGAAGTTCCCTCCACTAACATGTCTGCCACATCATAACAGCAAATGCAATTTTAAATGTAAAATTAAGTGATGCCATCACCCCACCCTCCAGTGCCAGTGGTTCTTGCATTTAATGTTTCATTAATCAATATTAATTATCCTTCAGCTATTTGGCACTGACTGTAGATCACAAAGCAAGACTGAATTGATTTGATTTATTATATTTCAATGCTGCTTTTCCCTCAAACGAATCCCAAAGCAGCTTGCAAACAGTAAGATTGTCACCTGGGAGAGCCCTAATTTCCCCTGCCCATTTCCCCTCCTTTCCATCACTGCACAGATGAATGTACACACAGATCAGATAGCAAGTTCTCTGTTAAAGAGAGAACGTACCATCGTGTTAATTAACAAGCTGATGGTTATTTATATACATCTTCAATTCTACAGCTGCATTTGAGATTGCAGCAGTGTAATTAGCTATTTCAGTGTTTCATTAACTTCACGGATACATAGTATTTTTGGGTCGAGAGGATTCATTCCTCATGAACACTCATACACAAGCGGAGGCAATGCTTACAAACAGCAAGAATGGTTCATATTGGAACTCCTGTCAAAATGTTTCGCATAGCAGAAAGCAGTGTAGATGGCAAGGGCGAAAGGGAGCTGTGGGCACTGAGACCTCTATTAATTCACGGGATAAGGCAAAACTGAAATAGATAGCATTTCTCCCATTCAACTATGAAACCCTCCAATGTACAGGGCTAAAAGAGACCTCTGTGTTATCGGTACCTGCACTGCACTTTGCATTACTCAAAAATAGCCATTTTTAGGACTGGCTCACAATTACATTCTACAAGCAACATTACGGGTAACCCAGGCTTGCATCCAAAACCTAAATGCTGGATATAGGTGCGTTTGTTTGTCTGCATATGTATATGCACCTACCATATTACGAAAGTATGCAAGACCTAATGATAAAACCAGTTACTTTATTTCAACATGCATACGTCTTACCTGGACAAGTTCCCTATATGCAGACTTGGCCAGATTGTATGGTACCAGAAGATTGGATGCCAAAAAATAGAGAACTTCCAAGCCGGTGAAAATCATGGCAAATTTGTTGATGATCACAATAGTTTCCAGAGGGACCAGGCAAAGCCGTGCCAGCAGAGGGAGCATGTGAGCAGAGAAGAGCCAGATTTGTTTGGTTTTCATGACACAGGAGCAAAGGGTGCATACCACAAGCTGACCTGAAAGTGACAGAAAACACTGAATAGCGACATCCTTTCCATTTCAACAAAATCTGTATCTTATTAGTGGCTCCCACCTCCCCCAGTAACCTCATTAAGCAGTGCCACAGCCTAGAACGCAGCCTGACGCATCTTATTTTGATTAAATACATTGTCCTCACGCAACAATGATGGACTAAATCGACAGCAAAGGGGGAAGATCACACTGGGGATTCTGCAGGGCCAGATTTAGGTTTGATGAGGCCCTAAGCTACTGAAGGTAATGGGGCCCTTTATATGTCCAGCTGTCCTTTGTCAACAACAAATTGTTGCTGTTTTTTGTGTTGAATATATGCTATGTGGTCATTTATGGACCTAATAGGTATCTAAAGCGTAGCTGTCAACTTTCAGATTTGAAAATAAGGGATCAGCAGCCTCACCTGTCCTGGGGACAGTCTATGGGATATCTAACAATCCGGGATAGCAGCGGGAAGCGGCGCTGGAATAAGGGAATTTCCCGCCAAAAAAGGGAAGGTTGACAGCTATGATCTAAAGCCATTTGCACAAGTTGCCATGTAACCTGTAGGCACCCTATATATAGAAATGAGCAAACCAGTGATATTATAGGGAGCAGGCTAGCAGGCGGGGCCCAATACTTATATCACTGGAGTAACTACACAAACTACACAACACAAAACACTGTTGCTGTATGTAGGTTTTATTTTATTTGTTTTTTATCTTATATTTTGTAAATGTACATCCAGTTGTTTTTTTCCCTTTAAATTTTTTTGAGGGCCCCCAAGAGAGTGGGACCCAAAGCTATAGCTTGTTTAGCTTATACGTAAATCCGGCACTGGGACTATGCGTAACTGCCAAATCTAAATATGTAAAAGCTGCATATGAAACATAGCTCAGCTAGTCAAGCTGCTTTTTAACAGAAGGCAAAATTGTGGTTGCTGCATGTTTTGTGAAAACATGGGGACTGTGGCAAAAATATAAATATAAAAAATATAGCCCTAGGCAGTATGCTTAAAGCAAGGGTAGCAAACTTTGCCAGTCCAAGGCCCACAGTCCCTCATGGGCGAGCTCCCAGGGACCACATGGCAGTGGTGGGTGGGGTCAGAGACAAGTATGGGTGGACCAACAGATGTGATCCTTACCTTTGTACTCTTGGTTATATTCGGTCAGAGGTTTCTACACACACACCACAGCAAGCAAGCAAGCAAGCAAGCGGCGCTATCACACTTCAAAAACATGCACCAGAGCACTCAAGAAAAGTGTGGAGCACGACCAATGGGAAGTGTGGCTTAAAAAGGGTGTGCAGCCTGGGCAAGTTCCCAGGGGTCAGCTGGAGTGTCCTGGAGGGCCACATTTGGCTTCAGGGCTGAGGTTGGAAGGGCTGCCTTACATATTATATTTCAGTGATACACAGTGGTACCTCTAGATACGAACGGGATCTGTTCCGGAGCCCCGTTTGCATCTAGAAGCAAATGTAACCCGTGTCTGCGTGGGTCACATTTTGGCACTTCTGAGCACGACATCATTTTGAGCGTATGCACATACGCAAGCGGCAAAACCCGGAAGTAACGTGCTCTGTTACTTCCGGGTTGCCGCAGAGCGCAACTCGAACACGCTCATCCCGAAGCACATTCAACCCGAGGTATGACTGTATATTTTTATATTTATATTTACAGACTGGCTGTGTGTGCTTAACAGTGCAAACTTAAGCATGGTTACTCAGAACCAAGTTGCACCAAGGTCAATGGAGCTTACTCAGAGGTCAGGGTGCCTAGAACCACAGTCTAAAACTTGTACTGTTTGAAAAAGCTAAATAGCTTCCCTGCTGTGTATGTCATTACAAGGTATGTGCAGTTAATAATGAGAGGGAGGGGTGCAATTTTAATGGCTTTCGCTGCAGGAATAAAACAAAAAATGTAACGTATGAAGCAAGTTTCTCCACACCCAATAACTTAGCTCAGAGTAAGGGTACTTAACACTGAAATGCTGCTCAAAATATATTAATATGCCTAAGATGCAGCTTACTCATGACTCGTGAGGGAATACTTAGGAACTCTTGATAAGATAATGAAGCTTTCAACTTTCATAAATGGAAGGATGCCCACAGTTAAGAGTGACTGCTGCACATAACACATAGACTCGGGCTGCAATCCTGTGCCCACATACCCAGGAGTCAACCATATGGAGCTCAAGGAGAACCCTATGGAGCTCAAGGAGAAATAATAGACCTTGCCTAGGATTGTGCTTTGAAAAGTGGCAGCCAGAAGCCACTTCATCTTAGGAAGACTGCTTCCCAATCATCCAACAGAGCCTAGGAGGTTAGCTTTCAAACTATCAGAGGTATGCACAAACCACAAAATTCAGATCAAACCCATATTCTGCACATCAGAAAACACACACCCCCACTCAGTCAGAAGTAGCTTTACACCTTAGATGGTAAGCTTTCAAATATGCTTTTAGCAAAAGCTTGACTGTAGTATTTTTTTTTCTTTTTTTGACAGCTAGATCACCCAGGTGCCACAAAACCCCTTAGGGGTTCTGTCTTTGACTCCTATCACCTCATATAGACCCCATTTCACTTCTGAGGCACCTCACCTTAGTTCTGAATTCATCCAAATCTGATGCAAACCATTTGGATACTGTGTGTGTGTGTGTGTGTGTGTGTGTGTGTGTGTGTGTATTCTAAAATGCAGGCAGTAATATACAAGGCTACCAGCATGAGTTTGACCAAACTGCGGGAGGCAGTGGAAGACAGGAGTGCCTGGCGTGCTCTGGTCCATGGGGTCACGAAGAGTCAGACACGACTAAACGACTAAACAACAACAACAAATATACAAGCTGTTTCACAGAAGTGAAGGTAAAAGTCCCATCTATGGAGGTGCTTATTAAGATGGCTTGAACTTTCCACTGTTTCTAGCTTAGTAATTGTTGTTTTCTATTGTGGCCCAAAACACACACACGGCAACACATTATAGCTGTTACACAATAAGCCTTTTAAAGGCAGAAAATCCTTTTGTGTCGAAGCTAGTGTCATCAGTGACACAGCAACACCAAACTTCCTATACTTGTACCTCTTGTGCACATTGACTGGGCGATCCTCCCTTCTGGGAGTGGGAAAGTGTCATTCATATAATGTATCTGTTAGAACCAAAGCTACGTCCTCCAATTTCATCCACAAAAATAAGACATTTGCTGATTTCCAGACATTAATGAGGACTGGCTGAATATTAAAGCAAAGTCTTGCTTATGGCTGCAGCTAAGTGAATAGTTCAGAACTTCTGAAGTACCGTACACATATTTGGTTACTTGAAGTTGCTCCACATTCATTTATAAGAGAATACAGAACATGATTCACACAACACAGATGACAAAACGGAGCTTGAGAGTGAATAATCTAAGAGCAGGTGATCTGAGTAATAGTCTAATTAAAGCAGCATATAAAATGCCCAAAAATTTAGCGCCTTCTCGAATTCTCCTCCTGTTGCTTAACTTCGTATAATTTTCTCTTTGCAGTTTTCCAATTATAGGTACAAAAAGTGAAGGCACATTGGAAAGCAAAGGCAATCTTTAAATTCTACAGAATTGCTGTGGTGCCCCCTAATTGGTTGATGGTATGAACAAGCCTGTATGCCAGCTGTCTTCACCCTCTCAGATACCTTCAGTCTCACCCAACCACCTTGAGACACGGCTGAGAGTTAGACAATTCTGCTTGTCAATTTAACTTTTTAATTTTATTTTGTTAGGCCCATCTCCTTTTACATAATCACTGGTGCAACTGGTAATTTCTTGTCCCAGAGGGAAATGTGGAACACACAGCACGAGCCTGCAGTCAAAATTAATTACACACATCAATATTTAAAGCAACTTCGCAACCTTCCCATATGCCAAGACACACAAGATGGGGAAGTTTTAAAATTAGCCCAGTGTTCTTGAGACAGGGCTAGCTTAGTCAATGTGGCTGGAAAGAGGGAGAGAGAAAGAAAACAGCCACACCAACAGCAGAGTACTTTTGTGCACCGGCCCATTAGTGTGAATGCTGGAAAATGGGATTTTTGAGCAATTAGTTCATCAGCTATGAAACAGAAGCCATTCATTTTGCTTGTTAAGCCCTTGCACTGAAGTATGATGCTTGGAGACTTAATCATAGCTAAGGGCTAATTTCCACTGCAGTCTGTTTATCATTACACGAATCAGAAAAACGCAGGCGCAATCAGATCAAAGGGCGGCATATATTCTGATCTGAATGTCTCTCACAAGAGACAAAGGAAATAAGCTGATACCTCAAGTTTTAGGTCAACTGAAAGTATTCTTATCATGTGGAAGTTTTGTGGGAACAACCAGGGGTGCAGAGACTGATTTGATAGCAAAGGGTGTTCTGCTTTGTGCGCTTAAGCATGCCATTAATGCAGAATGGTGGCCATAACTCAGATTCCTGACCATATCTCTCCCCACCTAATCTTCCTATTCTCTCAAGGCGGGTTCAAGTGTTGGTTTCTGCTTTCCTTCACTGTGCAGCAACTGCAGTCACAAGACAGGTGTTTACATTCCACAGTCTGTACTGTTGGAGTTTCTCACGGGAAAGGGAGACTGGATGTGACGTACACTGGTTTCCTGTTTTTCACTGTGTGTGATTCTCTCCGAGCTGAGAGAGGAGAGAGGATGCATTTTTCTGCTCCGGCACAGAGGCAAGATGTCTTTCTGTAATATACCAGCTTTGAACTGTAAATAAAGCAATACAGAGTATGCAGCACGTATCCTCATCCTTCCGCTGGCACGACAGACTCTGCTTAAATCAACACGTGGTTATGGGCCCAGGAGTCGAATCGGAGTGCCGGCAAAGGATCGGAATGCAGAGGGAGGACGGATCGGAAAGGAATCTGCTCTGCGCGTAGAAGTGATTGATGAGGTATGTGCTACTGCTCCGGGCAGCCTGCCAGCTTCAAGATAATGGCTTTATGGCTGGACTTTGAACTTTTAAAGCCGGTTTTGCAAACAGGCAAAAGGCTCCCAGGCACAAGTCACTATGCTGGGGAAATCGAAAGTAACTTTTAAGTGTGCCTTTGTAATCAGGCAGCTGCAGCAGTGACGCAGCAAGATTTAAAGCAGCATATAATGACGCTGAAGGCTAATGCCAGAGTCATGATGGCCCTTCAGGATGCTTGTGGGATTCCTAAGCTCAACAAGACAAATTACAGCGACTGGGTTCAGTATGCAGAGGCAATTCTGCGGAAAGAGGGTTTGTTTGAGGTGATTACAGAAACCCCCCCAGTTCCAGTTACAGATGCATGGGAAGCTAAGGATTCCAAAGCAAGGGGAACTCTTACATTGATAGTATCCCCAGAAGAGCTCTGTCTATTGCGTGATAAGACCTCAGCCAGAGAAATTTGGGACGCTCTGAGAGAGGCTCACTTAAGGACAGAAGCTGGATCCACTATGTTTTATTTTAACAAGCTGCATAATATGGCTCTTGCTGAAGGTGGAGATGTGCGTTTACATCTGATGCAGATGCAAAATCTGAGACATGAGCTGCAACAAAGAGGACTCAACTTTCCAGAGGCTGTGTATTCTTTCATGATACTACAATCTTTGGGTTCAGGTTGGGAGTCTGTTGCAACCCAGATTGCTGTGCAACCAACTGCTCAGCTGACAGTGGACTTTGTTACTGCCGTGATTTTAAATGAAGCAGATCGCCGGGGTGCTAGCTGCATGGGCAAGGGGAAGTCTTCACAGACGTCATCCCATAGTGCAGTGGAACCACCAGATGGCGCCAAAGCTTTGAAGGCAGTCAAATGCTACTCGTGTGGACGTCTAGGCCATATGAAGAGGGAATGCAGACATCCCAGGGCCAAGACAGAGCAGCGCAGCGAAAGCTCATCACGCGGAAAAGGCCGAGGCAAAGGCAAAGGTCCGGTGTCTAGGACAACGCAGCACAAGGCTATGGTTTCACGCTTCACTCCAAAGGTTGCAGAGGTCCAGAAGACGTCTAGATCTTTCTTCGTAATTGATTCAGCGGCCACCCACCACATGTGCAACGATAAGAAACTGTTTGTGTCTTTTACACCGCAGGAAGGTGCGATTCACCAGGCGGATGACCACACTATTCCCAGTAAAGGCTACGGAACTGTTGTTCTTCACAGTTTGGACTTATCGATACAGAATGTGCTTTACGTGCCAGACGCCAAACATAATCTGCTCAGCGTTGGACAGCTGAATGAGCGGAACATTGACGTTTCCTTCAAGAACAAGAAGTGCATCATCACAAAGAAAAATGATTATGTATTGCATGCAGAATATGTTGATCATTTGTTTGTTTTGTATTATGATGATGTGGTGCAGGATGACACTTGTTGCATTGCAGGTTCTAACAAAAGTTTGCATGCAGAATGTATTCACGATTTTCATCGAAAATTTGCTCATTTGCATTTTGAGGCAGTATCTAAAATGCCTGCCTTGGTTGAAGGTATGACTATTAAACCCTGCAGGTACCACATGAAGTGCAAAGCATGCGCAGCAAACAAGGTGAAAATGGCTGCGAAAGGTAAGGTGTCTAGTAGGAAAGCTACAGAACCATACCAGGTTGTTCATGCTGATTTGGTTGGTCCACTATCGCCCTCTTTGGGTGGAAATAGATACTTCATGGTTCTCATTGATGCATTTTCTAGATATATTTTTGTGTACAATCTCAAGCAGAAATCGGAGGCTTTTCCTAGGTTCAAGGAATTCTGTGCTTGGTTGGAAAATGTGCATGGTAAGAAGATAAAGACTCTTTTCAGTGATCGCGGGGGGGAATTCACTTCTCAGCAGTTTGAAGCTTTTCTGACTGAGAAAGGAATTCAACACGATTTGTCTAGTCCTCGCTCGCCATGGCAGAATGGACTTGCGGAACGGGCAAATCAGACATTGCTTCAAGGGTTAAAACCTTGCTGCATGATGCCAATCTTCCAGAGAGTTATTGGGCCGAATCTCTCTCGTGTTTTGTTTACAGTTACAATCGCAGGCTATCTTCAGCGATTGGTTGTACCTCTATGAGAAGATGTTTGGCAAGAAGCCATACATCAAACACATGAAGATTTTTGGTTCTGACATGTGGGTTCGCTCACCACAAAACTCCAAGTTAGACAAGCGTGGATTGCATGGTATCTTTCTAGGTTATCAGAAAGGGTCTTACAGAATAATGATGACTGACTCTAAGACAATTAAGCTCACGAGAAGTGTTGAGTACAATGCAAAGTGGGGGAGAATGTGGGAATTTTCCAATGTTATCCTGATGACGGTGATGAGACTGAGGATAGTCAAAAGCAACCACAACAGCCCACACCCACTGATGAAGGTTCTGAGTCTGAATCTGAAACTGAATCGGGTGATTCAGAGGATTTCAAGAGTGCGAAAGCCTCTATGCGACCCTCTGAAAGCTCTGATCAAGAATTGGAGGAACCATTGTTCACAATAGGTCGTTTTTCTCCTAAGAAGGAAGAGGAGAGTGTTGAAGACTTAAGGCTAATTCGTAGGTCACAGAGAGCTACAAAAGGCAAACCTCCAAAGAGATTTGCTGATGAGTTTGCTAAGATAGCAGTAACAGCTGTTAAAAGCTCCAAGAAGGTATTTGAACCTTCAAGTTTCCAAGAAATCCAGAGTTTGGATTCAAAGGAAGCTGAGCCATGGTTAAATGCCATGAAGGCTGAGCTTGATTCCTTAGAAAGGAACAAAACATGGGAACTAGTTCCAGTAGTTCCAGGAATGAAACTGCTTGAAGCAAATGGGTCTTCAAAGCGAAGACAGATCAAAATGGCAAGATAGTCAGACACAAAGCCAGATTGGTAGCCAGAGGTTTTGCACAGGTACCAGGTGAAGACTATCACGAGACCTATTCACCCACAGTGAGATATGAAAGCATTAGGCTTATGCTCAAGCTAGCTGCAGAGGAAAATCTACACATTAGTCACCATGATATTAATACAGCTTTTCTGTACGGATCTCTAGATGAATCACTTTATATGCTTCCACCTGATGGCGTACAGGTAAAACAGGGATTTGTTTGTGCTCTGAAGAAATCCCTTTATGGTCTCAAACAAAGTGCACGGTGTTGGCACACAAAACTCACTGAAGTATTGTTTTCTCTAGGTTTTCAGCAAGGGAAAGCTGATCCATGTGTATTTGTCAAAGAGGAGGGGCAAAAGAAACTGTACTGTTTGTTTTATGTTGATGATTTATTATTCTTTTGGAAAGATGTCGCAATGTACAATAACGCCCTAGCTCAACTGAAAGAGCACTTTGACATGAAAGATCTTGGTGAGGTAAACAACTACCTATCTCTGGAAATAGAGAGAGATCAAGATGGTAACATTCTAGTACACCAGTCACGGAAAATTGCTGATGTGTTAAGCAAACTAAATCTGATGGATGCTAACCCTGTAGACACACCGATGACAACAGGTTATCCGGTAGATGACACTGAAGAAGCATTTTCTGACACTACACTGTACAGGAGTGTGCTAGGCAAGCTAAACTTCATTGCCAGATGTTCAAGACCAGACATTGCTGTTAGCTGTAATTTGCTAAGCAGACAAGTCAACAATCCTAGTGTCAAGGATTGGAAAGCTCTGAAACGCATAGCGCGGTATTTGAAAGGCACTATGCATTACAGACTGAGATTTAACAATCAGAAGTCTGGTGGTCTTGAGATATTTGCAGATGCAAGTTTTGGAAGTGACACTACAGACAGGAAAAGTACGTCTGGAGTTTGCTACATGTACAATCAGAGTCTGTTTGATTGGTCATGCAAGAAGCAAACAACAATTAGCTTAAGTACTTGTGAAGCTAAACTGAATGCACTGTCTTATTCACTTAAGGATTGTGAATGGTTAGTACAATTGTGCAAAGATATGAAAATTCCTGTCAAATGTCCAATCCAGGTTTACCAGGACAACAAAGCATGTTTGGCTTTGCTGAAGTCTGAAGGTTGTAAGCAAAGCACAAAGCACTTGCAATTAAAGTTGCAGCATGCTAGGGAATGTATTCAGAAGGGACTCGTAACGGTGTCCTATATGCCAGGTAATGAAATTCCTGCTGATGTATTGTCCAAGATTGTATCAAGGGATCAACACTGTACCTATGTGCAGAAGTTGGGTTTGTACTGATACTGTACGAACATGCTGCCCAGTGATGTTCACAGAAAGGGGAGGATGTTGGTTTCTGCTTTCCTTCACTGTGCAGCAACTGCAGTCACAAGACAGGTGTTTACATTCCACAGTCTGTACTGTTGGAGTTTCTCACGGGAAAGGGAGACTGGATGTGACGTACACTGGTTTCCTGTTTTTCACTGTGTGTGATTCTCTCCGAGCTGAGAGAGGAGAGAGGATGCATTTTTCTGCTCCGGCACAGAGGCAAGATGTCTTTCTGTAATATACCAGCTTTGAACTGTAAATAAAGCAATACAGAGTATGCAGCACGTATCCTCATCCTTCCGCTGGCACGACAGACTCTGCTTAAATCAACATGCCTATGCATGTTGCTATTTAAGGAAAAAACAAGCTGAGAGCCATGAGTGCGGGGAGCATGTGTGTATATATGCACAGACAGATAAGGGAAGGAAGTTCCTGCATTGCACAACAGCATAAGAAGGTTAAACTAGAGCAACTTCCTGCTCACCAGGCCCTGACCTTTAGCAACCAACCACTATAATGCAAATGACCTATAACAGGGGTTGCCATTGTGGCACCTGCACCACACATGCACCCACAGAGGCATTTACGACTGAAATTAGGGTGGAAAGAAGGATTACGTAGCAATGCAACCAACAGAATAGGTTGTGGTGTGTGTGGTGCCCTTGTTTGCATATGTGCTTAACAGGCCCAAATGTGGTTGGCAACACTTGCCCTATATAGTGCTGACTGTTGAGGTTGAGCTTTCAGTTAGCAGGATCCCTGAGTGGTACAGTGCGCAGACTAGGCTGCTGGTAGTATTGTTTACCTGTTACCACTTGCCACTCTGAGATACTTCAGGATGTGAAAACTCTTTTACAGCTGAAATTGAGTCCTGGAGGTGGGCTTAATTAAGACTGGAGGATGCAGTTTTTTTCTTCACTTCTAATTTATTCCGCCACGACTCTTAGTTTCTAAAGGAGATCAAACCCCAAACATCATATAGTTGGGGGAGGAAATTAGGGTTAAGGGATGACACATGCTTTATGGCGCAAATCCTCCAGTCTAACTAGAAGGACTATGTTCAGTCCTTGTCAGTATGTTTTGCAGAGAGGTGTTGTCTCCCTTTATTTTTTGTATTTCCAAACTTTTACTTCTCTGCACACCTGGGCAGTCCTCAGAAATGTCACTTAACATCAGAAATTTAGGATACCAGTCTTTCCTGCATACCCATTGAGGACGATTTCTGTCCTACAAGCTTAACTACTAGGACTTTTCACATAAAGCCCCAGGAACAACAATTTTGGGAGAAAGGCTAGGGATTCCCAAGAGGATTCTCAGCTTACCCACAAGAGGTTGTATCTAAGTAATGAATTAACCTGAATGGGTCTACTCTGACTAAAAGTTAGCTGAATACAGTCAATTGTATTTTATAACTGCCCTCCTCCCACCCTCAATGAGAGGCTCAGTTTGGCTACTGGTGAAATGGAAACTGGGAAGTTAAAAAAAACTGAGCCAGCAGAACTGTTGGAAGATTAAAACTAAATAGTTTGAGACTTTAAAAATAAATGCCAAGAAAACAGTTTGGATCAGGAGCTTCTTTTCCAGAGTGCTCATGAAAAGAACATGCTAACTGTAAAATGGAAACTGAATGAAAGCATATTTGTAAGGAAAGAGACAATCCATTTCAAGATTACAAGTAGTCCCTGGTGGTAGGACTTTTTTCTTTAATGATCATAGAAATAAGTAGGTGTTGCGAAATTAGCTCAGAAAGGAAAGCAGCCAGCCTAGCCAGAAACAGCAGCTTTTTATTCCTGCGTTAGAACAAACACCTCTAAAGAAAGCTTTCAGGCCTCCCATCTCTGTTTTCTCAAAAACCACAACACATTCACCAGAGCAAAGAGACTGAAAAAGGTGGGATTTCTTGCTGAAGGCTGCATTACTGGTAGTTTCGGCAAATGAGCTGTTTAAAAAAGTTACTGCCAAAAGACAAGCTGATTTCCTGTCAGATCAGCTGTAACATCACCATAAAGCAGAAGATGAATATCCCTTTGTAGATGGAACATGCTTTGCTTATGAAAGAAGGTCCCAATAAGTCTTCAAAAACTGGTCAAAGCCACAAGGCCACCATGGACACAAAACACCCAAAATCAGTCTTGAGTACAATGCTAACTTATTTTTGAACAGCCTGGTTTGTAACTAAAAATAAAAATAAAAATGGATCAACATTTATTTATTTCCTTCTTCCCTTAAAATTTCAGCTCTCAGTTTATTTTAATGTTGATTGTTTAGTTAGGGTGTCCTCATCTACATCACAAAAAAGTCATCTAAAAAGAGAGGAAAGATTTCAAGGCCCCTGCTGCTCTTCCTTATGGTTCTTGCTCTATAAACCAGTCAAAACATGCTTTCAAATAGAGGACAATCCTCTGATAGGCCTCCAAGCAGAGGACTGTCCTCTGGAAAGACAAAAAAATAATTAGAATTATTGATACAGTGCAGTGTTTTTATATAGTATAGTCGGTGTGGCGTTTTGTGTTAGTGTTATTATATAGGGGTTAACAGTGACAACAGTTTCCATTCCTGTCTCAAAACGGCCCCACAGTTTCTTACCAAGGGCCTGTAATATTTGAAAACAAGCAAACAGAATTCACAGAAACGTGTAGCTGCAATTCCCTGCCCTAAAGCTGGAACCTCCAAATATTACAGGCCCCTTACTGCTTAATCCAACTAATCCAGATCACAGGTTGGCACAAATAGAAAACAGGACTGAACGAGCAGACCATTCCAAAGAAGACACAGAACAAGCAGTACCCAGTAACTGAAGAAAAGGAGCCAAAATTACAGCTATGGTCTGTGAAGCTACACAATCACTATTAATTTTGTTTGCTATAAATGGCAACACACAGGCAGATAAATATGGCTGAAGAGGGTGATTTTGATTATGTGAAATGTGCTTTCATGGTACAAGAAAGAACATGGTGCCGCTCAGGAGATGTCGAATTGGAGTGTACTCACCTATTAAGGCTGTCATAAAACGATTCATGGAAAGAGGTTCTAAGTACATTGGCCCTTCATAGCCAGACTCCAGCTCACTCCTCACATAATCCCTGAGGAACACAATGAAGCATTATTAAGTCAGGTGTAAGAACGGGTGCCATTAACTGTTCATGCAAAAAGACCCTCCATTTCATATTTTTTTGCCATGTACATTCCAGGAAATCACAGACACTTGTTGTCCATTTGTTTCGACAAAATCTAGCAAAGATTTGTATGGATGCTCCTGAAGTACCCAAGTCTGTTATACTCCTTTATCATAGTGTATCAGTCTGAGGTGGTATATGGCATCTTCTGGTATTCCTATCCAAGTCAGACCACTGGGCCCATCAATCTCAGTAGCTGACCAACAGCAACTCTCCAAGGTTTCAAGACTGGGGACCTTCATTGCCCTACCTGCTAGAGACTGAACCTGGTACCTTTTGCAGATGCTCTACCACTGAGCTATGGACCTTCTTTTTTACATCTGAATGCGACCAATTGCGCAACTGGCTACTTTGCCACTATTGCGCACCATTGGGAAACAAGTGCTGTTTCCCAATATCACAGAGGGCGTGGGGAGCAAAACTCACCCAGAATTCACAGAAGATTTTGTATACTGGTTGTCCTAGGTGCAAGCCATGAAAATGTCCTATGTGAAATAGCCCTCAGTGAACCTACAACTCTTCTCATTTTAAACTAAAGCATGTATCGTGTCTTACCGTTCCTAGAAATTTCACCAGCTTTCTTTAACCTGACTACATCCTACTGGGAAGTGGGTTACAAAAATGTGACTTTGCAACCAGATACGCAGAACAAATAAGCCTCATAAAAATGTACCAATTTCATTTTTTTTAAAAAGAAGAAGTTCCATATATGCATCATGTTCTTTTCCTGTTTTGGGGACAGGAACAAAAAATAATTAAAACCACTGTTGCATCTCTTCAAGCAGAGAAGTTTTCAATGGTTTACAAACACTTCTGTAATCCAATCTAAATACTAAATAATGAAAGAATTGGGGCTACAAACAAGCCACAAAAAGGCTTATACAGCCAAACTTAAGGCTGTATACAACTTAAGCCATACACTGATTAATTAAAGAGGCAGCCAGGTTGTATTTATTACTTGCTCTCATTGGCAATGCTATTTTTTGAGTTAACTTTCAACAAGTATTAATTCTCTAAAGTGATTGATAGTGAGAAAGAGAGAAGTCTATTCTAAAATATATATAGTAAGTAAAAGGTCACATGCTCAACTTGCAAAACCTAAATTCAAATCCCAGCTGAGATCACTGACTATTAGATGGTCTTGGGCTACTCAGCCTCAGTTTTCCCTCTCTCAAAGAAGTTTTAAAAATATCCAAGATCACAGGTTTTCCTGAGGACGTAAACACTCTGCACATCTGCTACTTGATGCTACAAAATGTTTACTGAGAATAATGAAATGTGGGACTTACTTTTGGGTAATAATATTTAAGAGTGCAGATTTTTGTTTAAAATTGATGTCTACGCCTTGGACTTACCAATGGGCTTCTACAACTGAAACAACAATCCACAGAATTGGCTGCAAGGATGAATGAGACTGAAAGGCATACCAGAACCATGAAGAAACATAGATCAAGCCTATTAGTATATTGCATCTGATCTTTTTAGACTCTCCAATAGCAAAAATTGAATTATTATTTCAGCCAGAGCTACCAATGGAAAAGAGTAATACTGAAACTCTCTCAATTCTTGCCCCTGCCCGCCAGATCCTTTCTGCTAAATAGATGCAATTCTACCAAATCTGCAATCTGAAGAGGTGCCAAGCTACATGTTGTTCCATGTTCCTTCTTGCTGATAGATTCCCCCCAGCCCTCCCTGTAAAGGGAAGCATCTAAAGGAGGCTGGAATCTTAAGCAGAAGAGCAGGCAAAAGATGCTGGTTAACCCTTGCCAAGCCAGTCACGACCCCTCAAGCTGCTTTTTCACAAATGAGCAAAAATACAGGGGTCCTGGCATTCCCCCCTCCCGTAGGTAGAAATCAGGTTTAGGAAGTTATTTTGAAAGGGCAAAACAGACGATAGGGAAAGTATTAAGGCAGTGATATTGTGTGTGTGTGTGTGTGTGTGTGTGTGTGTGTGAGAGAGAGAGAGAGAGAGAGAGAGAGAGAGAGAAAGGAAGTGAGAGAGAAAGAGAACACACAAACTGGTCTCCAAGGAGTGTGGCTCCCAGGGGGCACAGATGTGCTTGCAGAGGCCTCCCTGACGTCCACAGGATCTCCTCCCCTGCTGCAATTAGCCATGAAAGAAGTATTCTACTGTAGTCAATAAAATAAAATGGGTTGCAGTATGTGCCTGGTTGCCCTGTGTGTAGTGCACACAACTGTTTCTCCAGTTTGGAGTTGGGTCTATGGGCCCAAAAAGGTTGGTAACCCCTGGATCAAAAATTCCCAAAAGTTCTTTTCCTTGGGAGAACAGCAGTCATGAAAACAAGATTGACGTGATCACATAAAATTTGTAGCTTGGACCCAATTTTTAGAGTCGAATGTGAAATTTACAAGGCAAGTATGCAAAAAGAAAGCAAAATAACTGGTAATGGAAATTGAGGGAATAACTGTGAGTACTAAGTAAAAGAAACTCTGTCTCTATTTAGGAGAGGCATATTAATTTAGGAATTTTTATGTGGGCCTCTCTCTGATTCATTTATCCTTCATAGCCTTGTGCCTTAAGATACTCTTGGACTTAAGGCAGCACTAATCATAAACAGGAAAAAAAAGCCCACTCAAGCTGCAACGTTAGCTGGATAACAAATTCTTCTCTTTAACTCATTACAAACTATTTGCCTTCCGAGTTATGAAACTAACAAAATGAGTAATTCTCTTGTTATAAACATTTTAAAAATCTGCTGTGAAGTAGCAAGCCTGACACAGGTACGCGGAAGAGGTGTTTGAAGTGCTACAAGTAGGTGAAGTGGCTCTCTTTAGTCTACAACCGGCAATTAAAATGCATGAGAATAAGCAAGGAATCTAAAGGACCGATACCGCTAGTACATTACGACCTTCTCCCTCCATCTTTGCTGCACACATTCTCCCTTTTTCTTGTCCAGCCAGTAGTATGCAATCTGTCACTCCAGAAAAAGTGCCCACCATGTTTCTTAAAAGTCAAATTAAAAAGAAAAAACACCTTAATTTTCAAATGTGTGTACAGTGGTACCTCTGGATACGCACACTCCGGTTGTGTATCCTTCAGGATGTGAATGCGGCATTTTTCCAGGGTGCCAACACAGCATTTTCCCGGGTTTCACTGTGCACGCATGCACAGAAACACTGTGCTGTGCGCATGAGCAGAAAGCGGTCCCTCCGGTTGTGGAAACCTCGGGATCTGACCAGAGCTCCAGAACGGATCCTGTCTGCAACCGGAGGTTCCCATCCTTTGTATTGTTACTCCACAGATGGCTAACAGTAAGTAAGTACGGTAAGTAAGTAAGTAAGTAAGTAAAGGCTCTCTAAGGAATGATTCTCAAGATGGATCCTTGCACACACACTGAACTAATCTCGTTTAAAAACAAAAGACACATTTTAAGAAGCATTTCTGAACCTACATGCATGCGTTCTTGGGCATACAAGAGACGTATTTTCAAGCTAGCAAGGATGAATTAATTATAGGCACCTGTGGTTTCTTTAGTCACATCAGATAATTCAACAGACACTTTTGTTACCCGTCTTCTCTGTTAAGGGCAAGTATTTACACAACTCCTTTCTAGCGTTCATATTATTACTGTCATCTTGGATTTGTATGTGTCATTTATCTGTAAAATTTCAATAGCACTCATTGCATTTTTTGACATTTACCCAACCCTTTGAAAGTGTGGGAAAAGGAACTGGAATGAAAGTGTGAACCTGACAGCCAAGGACTGAGAATCTTGCGCAGTCAGTGGGACTGCTGAAGCCTCAGATCTTGAAATGGCTGCATGGAGAAGAAAGTTTGGTAGCCTCTACCATACTATTTCCCCAAACTGTGGGTGTCCAATGTAACTTCTATTACTCCAGAACAAGAGTTTGCTCAGAGAAAACCCATAACGTTATTTCATGAGTCAGGATAAACCTGGATTCCTATTGCTCCTATCACTTGATTATATTCTACTGTATCTCAACAGCCACTGTACCAGTAATATATGCAAAGGGCTTTAAAAACTCTTAAAAGCACTATATAAGATGCTACGTATTAAGAAAAGAAATACTTTGCCCTGAAGCTACATTGTAATTATGAGCCAAGCTTTCAAAGGAATCCTCTAAGGATGTTTTCAATATAGTAGCAACTAAAATGCCATAATAATTAGCTAAGCAATAGCCCTGTTTATTAAACTGCTATTAAGGAGCACAGGAATAAATACAGAGATAAATCTGTAGCGCTTGCTTCATTAGTATTTGTTTTATTCTGCTGCGGCAAACAGGTTGCTGAATAACCTCATAGGGTTATGTACAGTGGTACCTCGGGTTAAGTACTTAATTCGTTCCGGAGGTCCGTACTTAACCTGAAACTGTTCTTAACCTGAAGCACTATTTCTGGGTTAGCTGAGTCTGTAACCTGAAGCGTATGTAACCTGAAGCGTATGTAACCCGAGGTACCACTGTATATGAAAAGAAGCTACAGTAGCACATGAGGCCATGTCCAGAGATTAACAAATGAGTATCTTACCACAATCCTGCCCTTTTACGCATGTAAGGATGTACACCTAATAGGAAGAGGCACTGCCAGGCCCCTATTAGCTTCCCTAAAACCATGGGGTGATGGAGGCCTTGGCAGGCCACTTTGCCCTCATCCTCAACCTACAACCTCTGGGAAGCAAACGAAGACCTTCCCTCTCTATTCAATGAATGACGTCCCAAAATTTCCCTTGCTCTCTCACACACCACAGCCTGACCATTCAAGCTGCTAGTCTGCGATTATGTGGATGCTGTGCATTCTCTGGACACTGCATGACAACGAAGGAAACTTTTGTACCTGAGGCTTGTATCAAGGTAACCAGAACAGAATGGGGAAATTATCCCTGAGCATAAAAAAGGTGAAAACAATGTGAAGTACCGTATTTTTCGCCCTATAGGATGCACTTTTTCCCCTCCAAAAATGAAGGGGAAATGTGTGTGCGTCCTATGGGGCGAATGCAGGCTTTCGCTGAAGCCTGGAGAGCGAGAGGGGTCGGTGCGCACCGACCCCTCTCGCTCTCCAGGCTTCAGGAGAGCCCCACCGCCAGCCCCACAAGCTCGGGGGACAGCGGGGAGGCGCAGCGCGCCATCCCGCTGTCTCCTGACGTGGTTTGGAAGCTGGCGGCGGGCTTCCCCCGCCCCCAGCCGCGCAAGCTCCCAGAGCGATGCCGAAGCTGCACACAGCTTCGGGATCGCTCTGGGACCCGTTCTGGGGGAGGGGGAAGCTCGGGCTTCCCCCGCCCCTAGCCCCGCAAGCTCCCAGAGCGATAGCAAAGCTGCGTGCAGCTTCCGGATCGCTCTGGGACCCGTTCTGGGGGCTGGGGGAGGGGGAAGCTCGGGCTTCCCCCTCCCCCAGCCCCGCATGCTCCCAGAGCGGGCTTCACGCAGGTCTCCACAAGCTGGGGGAGCCCGGCGCGACTTCGCGCTGGCCTACAACAGCTTGCGGAGAGCTGCCTGTTCTGGGGGCTGGGGTGGGGGAAGCTCGGACTTCCCCCACCCCAGCCCCGTGCCGGGGGGGGGGGATAAATTTTTTCCCCTTTATTCCCCCCCCCCCAAATCTAGGTGCGTCCTATGGGTCGTTGCGTCCTATAGGGCGAAAAATACGGTAAGTCATACAGTTCAAAGCAAAACAAAATGCAATTGCTAAACTTTACTATTCCACATACATACATTGGGTAGGATCTAGATATGCCCTTCTGTTCATGGAAGGAAATCTGATTCAATGGAGGTTCCTACAGACAACCTGTACTCCACACCATCTCCCACACTTTTCTGGAGGATCCCACAACCCTCTGGAGCAGCGGTTCTCAACCTGTGGGTCCTCAGATGTTGTTGGCCTCTGGCCTTGCTAGCTAGGGGTGATGGGAGCTGTAGTTCAACAACATCTGGGGACCCACAGGTTGAGAAAGGCTGCTCTGGAGCATCTTTGCAGATGTTTACAGTTGGGTTGGCCAATGTGGTGCCCTTCAAACGCTGCTGGACTACAACTCCCATCAGCCCCAGGAAGCACAACCAATGGTCAGGGATTACAGGAGTTGCCAGCCAACATTTTGAGGCTCACAAATTCCCCATCCCTAGCCAATGTGTATGATTTAAAGCCAGTGTAGCTGGCTCTGTATACACAGAGTCACTGCCGAATCAATTTATCCTATAATAAAGGAGGAAAGGGCAGCATACATGTTGATGTAGTAGTAGTAACGAAAGACAAGATGCCAAAATGAGCCTATACAGATCATGGAAAGCTTTGAGAAAGTTAGGAATGTACGGGGGGAAAGCTTGCTTGATGGGGAGATGGGAAACTGACTGACTACTGGATTATTGTAATTTGAACAAGATTCAGGCTCATGTATACTCTCTACCACCTTCTTTCATTTCTGAACAAGAAAATTATCTTCTTTGTTTACATGTCTCTACAATGTCCATTTGCTTTTCTCTCTCCAATTCCAAACCATCTGCTGGAAGAGAAATTCTGTTGGTTTTGGAAGCCAACATACTACTTTCTGGACATCATTTTAATACACCAGTTTCCACACCACAGAACACCGCAAGGAACTGGCTTCAATTCCACATTCCTTGCATTTCCCACATAAAATCTTCAAGATGGCTCCTCTGCTAAAAAATAAATTAAAAAAATCAATGTCTGTGCTAAAGAGAATTTTTCTCCCTGAAGAAAACTTGCAGATACCATGGAGTCTTACTCTTCTTGATACTTCACCCTAGGCTATCCAATGTCTAACTTTTTATTTCACACCCTCAAAGTCAATAAATTCCTTGCTGCAAAGTTAACTGGAAAAGTAATAAATATCTACAATAACTGTCACAGCAATGATTCTTTATGTTCTTGGCTACCTTCCTAGCTCCCCCTTCCCATATTTTGTCCACCGTAGGCTGAAAAGCTGAATCACGTTGTTGGCCCAGAATGCAGCTCAGATGGCAGAGGTTCAATAGCTGGCTAAGGATGGCCCTGCGTATCTGCTTGACACACATAAATATGCTAACACAGGGATGGGAAACAGGATCTGGCCAGTAGGCTGAACGCTGAGCTTCCCCACACCCTGAAAGCCCACTTTTGTCAGGCGCTGGGTGGGTGCAGCTTTAGGAAAACAGCCTCCAGGCCATATCAGAACCATTGTTGGGCCTCATTAGTTCTGCAGGCCAGAGGTTCTCACAGCTGTGTTAACATGAAGGGAATGGTTTTTCTGCATTTTTAAATAAAACTTTTGTTTGAGAACGTAAATGTGACCAAAAGTAAAAGCACAGTATTTTAAAAAATCTTTCATAGCAATGTTATACTTGACACTCAAAAGTGCACATGTTATTTTCCTTTTCTTTATACATGTAGGTAGGGCTTGCAGATTTCAGACAAAAGGAAGAGTTGTTGCCTGAGCTGAATATGCCTACTAACCCAAAGTCTGAATGTGAAGATGTGAATACATGGGGGGGGGGGGGAGGGAGTTGAAAGCCTGCAGAATTGAAGCAATTCCATACTGCGTAAAAAGACCACTTAATAGCTGTATTTGAAGGGTGGTTGCTTTCAGAGATAACAGAGTTCCATAATTTGTGCCACATTTAGTTGTATACAGTGGTACCTCGGGTTAAGTACTTAATTCGCTCCGGAGGTCCGTTCTTAACCTGCAACTGTTCTTAACCTGAAGCACCACTTTAGCTAATGGGGCCTCCCACTGCCACCGTGCTGCCGCCGTGCGATTTCTGTTCTCATCCTGAAGCAAAGTTCTTAACCCAAGGTACTATTACTGGGTTAGCGACTCTGTAACCTGAAGCGTATGTAACCTGAGGTACCACTGTATCCTTCAGCTGTTATGTCCATATCTGGTCCTTCAAAGATGGTTAGAAACAAGAATTGTATGGGAGATGGTTTATTTAAATACTTTAAACATTTCCTCTGACACTGCACTCCAGACCTCAAAGACAGGGTTTTGGTTTTGATGCTGTTAAAATTGGGTTGTTTTTCACGACTGTCTTTTAAAGGTGTGATACTGTTATTTTTAGTTTTGCATTTTACATGTTCTCAGCCACTTTATATCTAAACACACGTGTGCGCACACCCACACCCCTTACGTATCTAGGCATGATAAGGGATCCATTACAACCCAATACAGTACAGGATTGTGTTTCAAGTCTCAAGACTCATTCCAGGCTACAACTAAAGTCAACAGAAAGGTTTCTCATAAATTCTTTGGGAAAACTAGTGGATTGTGGAATCTGAGTTCAAATCCCCATTCTCCTACAAAGCTCAGTAGCTGAGTTAGGGCACGTCACTGGTGCTAATATAAACCCACCCCTCTTTTGTGAATAAACAAATGGGAGTGGGAACCATATGCATCAAGATCCTTGGAGAAAAGCCATAATATAAACTACAAGTATAGTCAGCAGAATAGAGTGGGAGGCAGATTTCAGAAATTCCCCCTCTAAATCTGCTCTAGAGGATTGGGGAGGGACTCCTAGAGAAGATCTGGGGAGGGTTGAGTTCTGGAGGTGGGGAAGGGGGATTGCCAAAAACTGATTTCCCTCACTTTCTGTCAGTGGACAGTCACCACTGGATACTACTTTCTATAAATGCATAAATGGAATAAATAATGTATTTTGCAAGTGGAAGTTACTGGCAGAAAACTCATAAAGTTATATGAAAAGCAAAGCTTACAAGGGTGGTGAGACAACTCTTACCTGGATATCTGATGACCAGCATACAGCAACAGTGCAGTTAGAAAATACAGGTAGAGTTGAACCAGGTGTTGTCTGGGTAAGGTTAGGAGCACAACACTTAAGATGTAACCTGGAGAAGAAATGGAAATAATTTCCCAGTTAAGTCCATGGACTTTTAAAGAATGATATTATTCATTTCTTTTAAAAGTGAATTTAAAGGTACCACTTTCTGCATTTTTAAAAAACAAAAAAGCAGGTGTTATGGCTAGAGCCATAGCAAATCAAGAAAAAGACATTTAATCTTAGAGAGGTCAACTGATCCACAAAACGTCAGCTATGAAGCCCACCTAGGTAATATAGCTGTCACATAGGGCAGAATCTCACTGGTTTTTCTGGTCCTGTTGCTCCAGTGAAGGTACCTATTAGCAGAATAGGAGGGGGAGGCTATTTTTGCAAAATCCCCCACCTCCTGCATCCCCCAGAACAAGCACCCCCATTCTGTTCTGGAGGTTTGGGAGGCTGCCCAGAACAGATTTTCAGGAGGCACGGTGCAAGGGAGAGAGAAAGAATTGACAAAAGCCCTTCAACTTCATGAAATCCAATCACAGAATCTCTCCCATGCAGTTTGGCCCAACCAAACCAAGCAAAATAATTGCAAGCTGAACATAAGCCAGCACTGAGATGCAGCTTATAAAAAAGAACATAATGCAGTCTCGGGCTGAATTAACAGAGGCAGATCGAAACAGCTCCACTCTATTCTCTGTTTGTCGGGGTGCATCTGGAATAATGTACATAGTTCTGGGCAACACATTTAAGAACGTTAACAAACTGGAGCATGTCTAGAGGAGAGCAATTAGGATTGTGGTAGTGGAGAGGGTCTGGAAACCAAGCCCTGTGAGGAACAGCTGAAGGAGATGCTTATGTTGAACCTGGAGGAGGAGGAGAAGGGGAGACACTCCCTTCAAATATCTGGAGTGCTGCCATGTAGATGAAACAGGTTTCTTCTCTGCTCTAGAGGGCGTAAAAGAACCAATGGGTTGAAATTGTGGTGAAGCAGATTTCAGATACAAATGTGAGCAGAAACCTCCTAACAGTAAGCTGCCTTGGGAGGTGATGGACTTATTTAAGTGTATTTAAGCAAAGGCTGGACTCTTCTGTCAATGATGCTGTAAGCTGCATTGCAGAACCCTAATGGAAAACAGGGCTGGTTTAGATTACCTCCAAAGTACTTTGCAATGCTATGATTCTAATGGTTAGGGAGGTAAGAATGTTCCTTTGCAATTAATCATACAGTCCCTCATTACTACTCTCAAACAACAGTAAACTCATTGAGGAGACAGCTGATGGTGCACCCTTAAGAATACTTTATCATGGAAAGCAACCAAGGAATCAATACTTCAATTCAGGCTCTGAACGTTTGCTTATTCTATCAATTGGGGCTCTGAACACTTGCTTATTCTGAGTAACAGCAGCAGAAGTGGTCTATTCACTCACTAAGCAAATGACATTCTTCATTTGTCGTAATAAAAGGAGGTGATCGACATAACTTTGCTGTCAGTCAAAATGTTCAGAAAAATAAGTCAGAAATCAATGCTGAAATAGGGAAAGACATTTCAATCTTTTAGATATAGACTAAGATTTTCCTTTAAAAAAAAGGAAAGGAATCACCAATGAAGTACCAGTTTCTCAATGTTTTGGTTTTCTGAAGACCTGTGTTTTACATGGCTCCCTATCACATTGGGCATGATCCTGATTCCCCACCCAACACTGAATGTGTGGAGGTCACATGCAGCTGCTGTGTGAGAAAGGCTTTCACAGCAGTTCACATGTTAAGCCGCAAACAGTGCTGTACTTTCCTGAAAAATTTTAATCAGGGAAACTTTTAGAAAAAATTGCCTTGGAGAATATTCATTTTGCAGCAAATATTTTCCAAAATCCTAGAGATTGAACCCGTTCAGAATGCTTATTTTACTCTCTCAGTCTCTCTCTTTTAGTAAGGAAAGCTTTTTTGAAAAAGTATTTGCAGTTGGTATTCATTCACATTGCTACCAAGGAACTAATGAAATGGAAAATTTTCTGGTGGGGAAAAAAAGCGACAGGAAGTTTTCCCATTTTGGAAAATTTTCCACATAATGTTTTCCATCCCACATCACCGGCTGCAAGTAAGACAATGCCATGAGCAAGAGCTCTCTAGAAAAGGTAGCCCCAACAGCACAAACCTTAAAATGCTGGAACTGATAGGCAAAAATAGAAGAGTCAAGGTCACTGCAGCTACAATACTGCTGCTTATGAGCTTACCAATATCTCAGCATTCACTCTGATTTTATGATTGCAGTAACCACTAAAAAAAAAAGGGGGGGGAAAGCACCTTGCAGATTTCCATTTTTTTTCCTGCAAAAGCCTCAACTCTGGCCAATGTGCATTTTCATAATCAACAATGTTGGCATCCTAAAATGATCGATGCAGTATGTGGGACATCCTGTAAACAACTGAGAATTTTACATCCCAGTGGCTAAACATTCAGAGATAGAATGGGCTGGTACTCTCTGTGGAAAGACAGGGATTCTGAGAAGAAACTGGAATTTGCACCTCTATTCCAGTCCCCATCCTCACTAATGTAAATGTTCACTAGCATCTCTAGGTTTCTAATCCACCAGCTGCTTAGCAAATCAAGGCCCTGGTGATCAAATAAAGTGTCTGATCACTGAAATGTCTGTAAATTGTTTCTCTCACATAATCATTGCCATTAGATCAGCTGAAGGTTGATATACACACTTTAAATGCAGGCACACAAACACAAGCCAGCATGTTAGTAGCGCAACACACTGTGCAAGTTTCCAACTTTAAGGTAGTATATTCCAGAAATGACCAAATCACAGGCTGAAACACCCTAAGCAGGGTTGACGAACCTGTGACCCTCCAAAGACAACAAGACTGGTAGCAGGTTCAAAGGCATGGAAATAATAAGTGGTAAAGTACTAGTTATACATCCAGGGCAACCACCAAGCACATGAGCTTTAGCACATCTCTTTGCACCAGTAACATATGAAGGAGGACACTATCCTTGAGAAAAATGCATGGATTCCATATAGGGGGATATGAAAGAGCTTGTTCATTGTTCCATACAGGTACATAACTTTGCATATCACACCAATGTGCAAAATCACTTGCACCTTGTCAGTAGCATTTCTCCCAGTGTTAAAAGCCACTTGAAGTTAGCAGCAACAACAAGGTGAACATAGTTCTTATCAGGCTCGGTCTGCAGTTTCAAGTGAAAGTGTTTATCTTCAGTAAACGGTGTCCACTGTTGGCCTTATACAGCCCCTTATCCATGCAGCTACGGCCAGGAATCAGTATCTATTCTGGAGGACAAATGCAGGCATGAAAGACTAATGGCAACACTATCATTAGTCTTGATCTAATGAGGAACTTGATTATGCAGCCAATCCAGGAGGATCTGCTACAGGGAGTTCCCTGTGGGAAACTTGGTTTCACAGCCAATTCGGTAGCCTTGAAGCTACATTCTATCAGCTGCCAAGCAGTGACTTCAATCCTGCTTTCTCTGCAAGGATTGGGTGCGCGGTTGAGTTTGCCACAGAGAACTCAGTCATGCAGCTGATCCAGCTGCATCTCTGCATCCGTATGGTTTGGGGAAAACAGTCTCATGGGTCAAACTGGGACTGTGCTAGGCCAAATTTAGCCCATTGGCTGGAGGTTCCACATCCCAGCTCTAATTACTCAAACAGACGGGTCTTAACCACTGTACTGCACAGCTTTGGCTACAAAGAGAATATACTGGGTAAGCTATGCAGTACAGCGGTACCTTGGACTTCGAATGGAATTCCAAAACGAACCAAGGTGTGGCTTTCCAATTGGCTGCAGGAATCACTTGCAGCCAATCGGAAGCTGCGGAAGTCGTGTTGGATGTTTGGGTTCCAAAGAACGTTTGAAAACCGGAACAAACACTTCCGGTTTCCGATCGTTCAGGAACCAAAGTGTTCGACTCCCAAGGCGTTTGAAAACCAAGGTACAACTGTACAGCCATCTCTTTCAATTTCATCCACAACAGCTGAAGCAAGAATGGCACAATGGTCCAGTTCACATGTTGCGTCCATTATGTCTCAATTGCGGCCACTACTAGATGACTAATATGTGTGAAAACTGGCTCAGGGAACACTGCTATCCCCTTAGGCACTTAAAAGGACTTAAGTAAGTAGGTGATAGGCCCACCCTGTTAACTAACTGTGTGGAAAAAAAACCTTACTAAACATGCTCCACTCTGTTCTTTCTCATGTGTTTGAATGATCCATGCATCCATTTCAGCAACCACTAAGGATGGAAGAGGGAATGGATGCAGACCGCACAGCAAGTACTGAGTGCAAGAGGATAGCTTTAGCCCTCATGTGCCTTCTCACTGTATTAAGTAACTAATTTTCTGCAAGGAACTCAAGATAGCAATTGATCACCACACAAAAACTTCCCTCCCAGTGCGTGATCACAAAGAGACACAAGGCAAGTCATAAGATTATGGGTTCACTTAAAAATAGCTACGCTTCTAAAATAGAACATTTGAAAATTAGATCTGTCACTCAGGCACTAATGTCGGCCTGAGCATGAAGCATGAAGGCACACTATGAAGAGGTCTGTTAAAAGTGCTTAACCAAAACTACAACCTGCTCTTTCCCCCTCTGCATTTCAGTGCCGGGATGTGATCATGGCCTCAAGTGTGCTCCTTGACTTTGTGCCATAGAAGTGAATGGCTGCTGAATGTGCCTGGGGATGCTATTAATGTGACAGCAAAAGCCTCTCAGGGGAAAGGCAGCATATCACAGCAGCCAGAGGACAGAGGTGAGAGAAGCAAAAATCAAATGAATGGTGGGAGAAAGATAGGTAGGGGACTCTGTTATTTATAAAGCAAGGCTTCCTCAGCCCACGCATTTCTGAAGCAGTGACAGATTTACACTAAGCATCAAAATTCTGCACTCACGTTAACAGGCAAATCCGATTTCCAACTGTCTACTTTGGGGCAGGGCAGCTAGAATAACACTATGCAACCTGGATGTTCTTAAGAGAGGAGAGGAATAATATCCAACTGACTGCCTATTACTTGATGGTATTTGACAGAAGTCAAGAAGTTAACCACTTTGCACTTCCACCGGCATCTGTTTCGTTTCTAAGGCCAATTCTAAGCGCTGGCTGTGACCTAGAAAGCCTTACATGGCCTGGGTGCCTGAGGACCTAAAGCAACAGTGGGGAACCTAGCTCATGGCCCTAATTAGCCCTGGCAGGCCTCTGGATTTGGCCTGCAAGGCCATGCTGCAAGGCCCACCTCCCGGTCACTTGATGTCATATGATGTCAGGTGCAGAGATCCACTGTCTCCGAACAGTCAACAACAAAAAGAGATTCAACATATACCGTATTTTTTGCTCTATAAGACTCACTTTTCCCTCCTAAAAAGTAAGGGGAAATGTGTGTGCGTCTTATGGAGCAAATGCAGGCTGCGCAGCTATCCCAGAAGCCAGAACAGCAAGAGGGATCACTGCGCAGCGATCCCTCTTGCTGTTCTGGCTTCTGAGATTCAGAATATTTTTTTTCTTGTTTTCCTCCTCCAAAAACTAAGTGCGTCTTATGGTCTGGGGCGTATTATAGAGCGAAAAATACGGTATATACCACCGGACAGCTTCAGACGGCAACGTGTTTGTGAACATTTTTTTTTTTTTTTTGCTAACACTGGAAACAAATATTTTGATAGTACTTTGCTTATAGTAACCTTTTAAAAACCACTTCCCGGTTTGTAATGCAAACCTCATTTTGTCCTTGCATTTTTTAAAAAAATGTTGCTTCACTGTATTCTCTTTTCCCATTCAGATTCTTCCCCCCACGCCACTCAGGGTGGTATAAATGGTTCTTCCCCATCCCCCAATTTTGTTCTCACAACAACTCTATGAGGTTGAAGCTGAGAAAAAGCGAGTAGCTCAAAATCACCCACCAAGTTTCACGAGAGATTGGGGAGTTGAACTCAGGGCTCCCAAGTCCTAACACTTGTAAGCACCCTTTATCTATACAGCGCAAAATCAACTCGGCCTGCTCCTTCAATAGCTTACAACTGTACTGTCTTACAATTACCTAGATATAAACAGTCAGAAGTCAACTAACTATCCATTTTGGTGTGGAGTGGGGTTTGGGCTGTTTTTCTTAAGTATATTTTCTCCATAGCTCTGCAAGCCGTACGCCCAGCTTCCGCAAGTCAAAAAGACAGGTTGCAGGCTGTAATCTGTGGTGAAAATCAGTATGCTGCAGGCAGTAGACATGTACGCAGATCATTATCACCCCACCTGCAATCATAGGATTAAAACGAAACTACTACTAGCGCAAACAAAGCAACACTTTTCACATGTACTCTTAAGAGGGCAGCATGAGCAACTGGCAATAGCTGGACTTCCTTTATTTTCTGGGACAGGTTTCACAAGGAAGGACTGCCAAGCACAATGGAAGAAGTGTATGCCAACAATCCTCTGGAAAGCCCCAACCTGGTTCACCCAGAAACCCAATATGCAGCTCAGAAGCACCAATCTATAACGAAGCCCATTCTCACAAATATGGCTAAGGCAGCAACATTATGAACTCTTTATACATCTCTGTAGCTGTCAGAGGGGGCGCTTTCTCCCAAGTCCATAAAGCGTAACAATTTATCTGACCATTACATCTGGTTGTGTCACACTGACTTTGGCATTCTTACTAGGAATAGCCAGTGGTTGCATTAGGCTGAAGAATCAGAGACCTCCCACATATCAGCCTTAGAAAATGCCAGAGGGATAAACTGTGTAAAGCAGCTCAAAAGGAAAGTGCCTCTATTTCTTTACATAGATCTAAGATACGGTAGGTCCATTATCTGAAAGTACCATTGCTGGAGCTAAAAGCAGGTCTGGGTCTGGTTAGCACCTGGATGGGCAATTGCTCAGTAACCCTATGTATACGGTCCTGAGCTCTACTAAAGAAAGGTAGGATTATCAGTGAATTAAAGGAATTTACTTATTTTTCCTATCTAGCATCAGCTTAGCATCTGCACTACAAGCTATTTTATTATATCTACATAATTTTATTTGTAACATATGGGGGAGGGAGAGAGTACATATATAAAAGACATCATGTGGCAAAGGTTATTGCTTAAAAATCTAGACCACTTATGACAGTTTACAAACATCAATATGAATGACCATCCAACCAATGAAATCATTTATACTAAAATCAAATAGCAGCGACCACCCCTCTCTCAGTCAAATATTTCTCGAACTTATGAAACGTCCTTTCTTGCTGCTTAATATCCTCCAGGGGTGAGCAGTGCAGTCAACATGGTCTGAAACATCTGAATCTGAATCTCTGCTTGTTTTATACTAATAAAAACAAGGGCATGGTACTAGCATAAATGAAAGTATTTTCTCCTTTGATGTGTTGGGAAGTAAGGCAATGAATCTGACTTGATGGTACAGTAGGATTACAAGAAACAGTGGACCCTCGGGTTACGTGCCGCTCTGGATACATAATCTTCGGGTTGTGAAAGTGGCAAACCCAGAAGTGTATTCTTCCGGGTTTCGCCACTTGCGCATGCGCAGAAGTGCTCTGTGTGCCGCACGCGAGCACAGAAGCGGTGCCCCGGTTATGGATTTTTGGGGGTGCACACGGACCCCCCAAATGAATTAAATTCATAACCAGAGGGTCCACTGTACGTTAAAAAGAGCTCAGTCAGTTAAAACATAATTATTTTAAAAACAACAACCAACAACAACAACAACAGACCAAGTATACGTTGTTCAGCTCTTCCATCAAGCTAGATGGTGAACAAAGCAAACATAATTTACATTCTCTCACACACAAGTATAATAATTGGTGGGGTGGGGGACAGTGGGTTATGGCTCAATGGTTCCAACCCCTCTTCTGTGTCCCCATCACCACTTTCCACACAGTGAAGAGGGAAGGTCTGTTCTCCACGTTCAGGCTCCTCTGCATGATTTAGAACCCTGCCACAGTCAGGGGAAGTGCCTGAGTAGGGCTAGTGTATTTCTGATACACAGGTACGAAGTGTGCCAGAGTTTACAAAATGCACACGTGGCTCCATCAGTTGTCAAACGAACTATCCTATGGGACCACCTTGCCCGGCAACTGCACTCCTCAGATGGGGCACGAGAGTATCACACGCCCCAGAGGTGCATGTAGCTTACACTAGAAATCAAGCTTTAAGTGTTATGGCCCCAGCCCTCTGGAATCAATTATCCGCTTAAATGAGGCACCTAATGTCACAATGTTTTGGAGCTTACTGAAGACAATTTTACTCAAGAAGGCTTTCCCCGAGGGGTGACCCAGTCACTTATGGAATATTAATTGCATATGTGGACGTTTGTATTGTATTTGTATTGCACGTTTACAACACTATTATACCACTTTAAATGTCCTATCTTCCCCCAAGGAATCCTGGGAACAGGCGTTTGCTAAGGGTGCTAAGAGTTGTTAGGAGACCTCCTATTTCCCTCACAGAACTGTAATTTTTAGAGTGGTTTGACCATCAGTCCTTCTTCCCAGGAAACCCTGGGAATTGGGAGGCAGCCATGACTGTGCTCTTGCACCTGGTCCAGAAGGTGCAGCCGGTGCAAAATGCAGCTCCCAGGAACATCCAGGTTGACACATACTATATTGGTGTGGAAAAATCTGCACTGGCTACTGACCTAAGTTCAAGGTTGTGTTGCTGACACAACTTTGGACCTATACAACTTGGGACCAGGATGCCTAGCAGACTGCCTCCCAATACAGACCGAGTCAATATTTAATACCTTCTGAGGGCACCCTACTGATTTTTCACTTGCTGACAATATGGAAGCGGGCCTTCTGGTGCCAGCACCCACCCTCTGGAATGCCTTCCCTCAGGTAATTCAAGAGCTAGAGGAAGTAATGATTTTAAACGCCTCTTAGCAACTCAAACCTCTCTATTAAGACACTGACTATCATCAGATGCTTTGAATACACTGAGAGAGGTTTTGCTTCAGGCAGAATGCATCACTAGCAGGGAATAAATGCTCTGGCCAGCCAATGCATACTCACCCACATAATGCATATTGAGAGCCAAGTACTTGTACTGGAAGAGGGGGTTGTTGTTGAGGCTACTTCTTTGGATCTGCTGGAAGAAGGAACTGACATCCCATCTGTACAAGACGTCCAAAAGCATGATGCTTGGGACCCGCAAGGCCACATTTAACATTGCTTCCAACTTCTCCTTGGCAGCCATTCTGTTCCTTATCAATGGATGGGTAGCAGACTGTAAAGAGCAAAAGACAGCAAGTTAGGCACCCCAAAGTATCCACAGCATTAGAATTTATGAAGCTGTCTTGTACAGAGTGAGACCACTGGCTTACGTGCCTCAGTACTGTTCACGCTGACTAAGTGAACATTTGATGACTAAGTGGAAGTTTGATGGTAAACATTTTTCACAAAGGTGGGCTACAAATCAGAAAAAAGCACCCCAATTTCACCACAATGCATTAAGCTGCAATGTTTTCACCATTTTGTACTCACTCACATTTATTTTAGATTTGGGGAAAGCTTAACTTCAGATTCAAAATAAACCAGCTACCCTTTAAGTCTGGACTCTTTTTTACCATTTCAGTTGCTCCATATAAAGTCTTTAAAGCATGTTAAAAGGGTTGTCAAAGCAGGATATTTTCTACAGTTTCACATTTTAGTAATTTTTGTATGATTCGTTGGAGCAGGATTGGACAAAAGACCTGACATAAAATAGGTGAAGTCTTCTAGGCAGCTTTTAAAAACAGGGTTTGCTCCTTGTCAAACTTTCCCCCTATTTTAAACAACATTAAAGCCTTCCTTTTTCACACCACCCAAGGCTATGTTGGACGGCGATATGTATGATAAAGAAACACACACTGATCTGGTTGCACATAATAGTAGACCATGGTTTGTATATCAAAAACCAAGTTAAACATGGCTTGTCGACCCCAGGGGATCTAATAAACCATGGATTGTTTCTGCAAAGCTTGTTTTGTTTCCCAAATGCCTCATGCCTTTGTAGCTTTTTGAGCATCTGTGGTTGTTGGCTAAACAAACCATGATTAGGGAAAGGTGCTCAATTTGCACATAGTGGCATGCCATTGGCCCATACACTAACTTATCATGGCTTCAGATCATTGTTTGATGGCAATAAACAAAGTATAGTTAAGCTCCTGGGCAGCATTTGCACATCACACTAAGCCGTGGGTTGCTGACCTTTTTTGTCTCAAGGGCCACATTCAACATTGGCCAACATACACACCTCAGGGGCCACATTCTAGTGCTGGATGTAGCTATCACACGCTATCGCCATGTAGACTGACACACAACCAGCTACTGTACTAAGCCATGGTTTAAAAAAACCAACTATGGCTACAACTCCTAGCGATACTGAACACTGGCAGAGACACACACGGAAAGCTGCTGCAGCGATGTCTGCTCATTGAGTCAATTTGAGCTCAGCTGTTATATGACTAAACAACACCCTTTTAATAACTGAACTCAGTCTGGGCATAAAGCCTCAAAACTTTGATCTGTGCTACATTCTATTTGAACTTTTAAAAATGCAAGTAATGCATCTGATATTTGATGGACTGACCAGAGGTGCTGTGTAGTCACCAAAGAGATGACAGTATGAACTGGGAGAACTGCATAAAGTGCCCTTCTGTCAATGTAGCTTTCAGCGCCCACAGTCACTTACTGTCAACAGATAGGCTCTGTTGTATGAGGAGGACACTGCATTACTGCTCAGTCGGGTGAAGGCTTTCAATTGAGATGTCGGTTAACCCAACGCCTACAAACCTATAATCGCAGTTAAGTCTTATTCAGCACATAGTTTGCATAGCAGTAGGCTGACTGTACTTGCTTTTTCCTACATAAACCACAGACACAGACAGCTAAATGTACCAATTATTCTTAACCAAAGAGAAGACAAAGTAGTAACCAATTAAACAAGGAGAAAGGTGGCAACGGGAGTTTTCAAAACAATGTAATATCAAGAGACGACACAATATAAAGATGCTAAGCCAGAGGTAAGCTTATTTAAATCATAGATGGTGTACTAAAAAACTATTATTATTGCAATTAATTTATTAACCGCGTTCTAAAGCAGTGTCGCAAAGTTATCTACGCATAAGATAATTAAAAACTAGTGTTCCCATGGTCCATTGACAGACTTTAAATTTACAAATCAAAAGTGCACCCTCAGGATCACTGAATATCTAAGGCAGGGATAGCCAACATGTTTTCCTTCAAATGTCGTTGAACTCCTATCATGCCTGAACATTTGCCTTGCTGCTTGAGGCTGATGGGCATTACTTGTCCAACAGCATCTACAAGGCACTATGTTTGATATCCCTGATCTAAAGGCTTAACTGGTCTGTGTTAAACTGCTTAAAAATTCCTTTGGAAATGTGATGAGGTATGAAAATTATTATAAAATAAATAAATATGTGATCCTAATCACACACAAAGGAAGTGACAGTGGATCAGACCAAGATCCAACTAGTTCAGTATTGTTTATGAATCTGAGGAACCAGTAGGTGGGAGGCGATCCACTGGTAGTTCATGGTCCCTTCTTTCCACCTACCCCTGCTATAGACCCTTTTGGATTGTGGTGTGGATTCTGTTAGCAAAGGACACTTTTGGCACAGTTCTAAGTCCCACTCACTCTCTTGCAGTCCCCTGTCTTCAGAGCACTGTTTTAAAAAACAAGTTCCACTTGGGGGTGGGTGAGTGGACAGTTTGGAAATTATGTGCATGAATACAACAAATGAAAGCTAAACCAGCCATTGGGATTGAATACTTACAAAAGGAAAGAACAAAATCTATGCACGGCATGGATGAGCAACAGGCAGGTGGATAAACTGAGACGTGGAATGGTAATAGTCAGGCTTTATTGTATCAGCCCAAATTACCATTTCAGTCATAAAAATAATCCAACTGAAATTATGGTTCAAAAGAATAGAAGAGATGGGTGTGGAGAAAAAAGATAGTCTACTGTCTAATAACACCCATTTATTAAGCCAGTAATTGCAGAATTTTCTCGATTACAATCACGTTTCACATTTCTAAGATCAAGGCTGAAGATTGTTGCCTTTACCACAAAACAGAGCTAAACCAACTCTAACCCTGGATATATTTTAGTAAGGCATGAAGGAATTCTAGCACATCTAACAGATAAGGATTATGTTTTGACAACCTGATTAGCTTATAAAGGTGTCACGGGAATCAAGCAGAAAATAATATGACAGTGCCATAAAAACAGGATCTCTAACGATGTGTGTGAGTTGATTTTCAAGGCTGAACATCGGTATACATAAGCAGGACCAGGAATTTAGTACAACTGAGGACTAATGAAATCTGCAATAGTCTTGTAATAAAAACAAATAACTCAGAAGGAAACCTTCTTGCAAGAGAGAAATCCATATAAACCAGGTATGACTTAAAAGCATCCATAAAAACTGCAATGTGAGTTAATATTGCCAGAATCAAAGCATCTGACAAGATTGATAGGCTGCCTGATAAGACAAAAACCTCTAAGAAGTTTGCATAAAATACTCACACAGGGCAGGCTACCTGTACAACTCAGAGGCGGCTGCTCACCCACAAAAGGTGGGTAAGGAAAAGGTGGTGATTGCTATGAACACACTTATGTAGCAGGCAGGAGAATCATAGAAGATTGGAGAGAAAGATGAAAGGCAGCAATTTAACACAACAAAACTGAATACATGTTATAAAACAGCAACACTACTACAGTATCTTGGAACTGTGTGTGTGTCTGTGTGTATAGCATGCAGCTCCTTTAAATGGATTGTGCAAGAAAGCACAGCTGATCTTGCCAACATTTCAACCCGTGTCCACTTCAGTTTTATAAGGCTCGTTAATATCTAGGTTTAGGAAAGGCTTTCCAAAAGAGTTTCATAGATCTGCTTTGGCCTCAGAATACCATTAGAACGGTAGTCCCAGCCACCAAAACATTAATCCACAGCTAGATACACTGTCGTGCCAGTGGTCGGAGAAGAAGAATTGATAAGACGATTCAGATATGACGTCCCTTCAGTTATGAACAACAGTCTATTGTACGGAGCTGCCCGCGATATATAACTGCATATAGCAAAGAAGCGAGAGCACACTCTGCTCGCTCTCAAGACAAGTGCTTTCAAGTATTCTCCTCTCCGGTTTAGTTCAGAAGCCTGGCACATCATGCAAACATACTTCAATAACATCTTGGTAATGTGCGCCCTCTAAAACTCAGAAGGAAGAAGGGCTAATATTAAACACATTCAATGGCATGTTCTAGAAAAAGAGGTGCTGGAACCCACAAGGAAAGCCTGCCTCCCTTGTTCCCTTGTAATGAGGTGCCGGGACTGAGTTCCGGTGAGTTCCAGCTGGAAAAAAAAGCCCTGAACATATTGTACTTTGTTTTATCATTTAATACAACTGCCAATCTGGAAATAAAGCTAACACAGAAAGCAATGAGCAGTTATTCTTCCCTTAAGAAAGAATATTGAAAAACCCTTACTACCAGTGTATTATTAATATGTTTTAAACATATTTTTATAAAAAAAATAAGCCTACCCTGATTGAACTTCTCTCTTACACAGGCTTTTGTGAACTCACCAAACAGAAACCTGGCCATATCTTGTTGATTCTGGCCATATCTTGTTGATTAATCTTGTTGATTCTGGCCATATCTTGTTGATTAACCTGTTAACCTGGCCATATCTTGTTGATTCTATGTCAAGATACTGTTCCAACCTGCAACACCAATTCTTGCAAAATTACTGTATTTTTCCGTGTATAACACCACCCTGTGTTTAAGACGACCCCTATTTTTGGGGACTCCAAATTAAGAAAATTGGGGGAGATTGCCCAGAGTTGTTGAGCATTTTTGGGAGGGGTTGCCCAGATTGCCAAAAAATGCTCAGCAGCTGCCAATTGCCTGCCCAATTGCCACAGCAGCAGCCAATCAACAACAGGGATTGCCACAGACACTAATCACCCAAGCAATCGCTGCTGACAATCTCCTGCTCGCTGCTGCAACCAATCACCCGTCCCCCCTCTGCACTATTCATGTATAAGACGACCCCCAATTTTTAACATTATTTTATAATAAAAAAGTTGTATTATACACAGAAAACTATGGTAATGTACAGTATCTTCCGGTTATAGTTGTTCAATAATTTCCCCCCACTTACAGGTCATATTAATAGAGATAGTACAGCGGACGCTTGGGTTGCGAACGTGATCCGTCCGGGATGCACATTCGCAACCCGCAGCATTTGCAACTCACAGTGCCGCGTCTGCGCATGTGCGGGTTGCGATCCAGCGCTTCTGTGCAAGCGCGACCGCCGAAACCCAGAAGTAACCCATTCCGGTACTTCCAAGTTTCAGCACATCTCTGAAACCCGAGGTATGACTGTATTAGAAAAGCCACAACCATTCACTTTAACCAATAAAGTAAAACACTTCTGATTTACAAAACATGAGGAAGTTAAAGCTGCTCATTGCCCTCAAAGTGCAGGAGGAGCATCTGATGAAGCAGGCAAGGTCTTTGGAGTTTACGATTACGCAAAGGGAACAAGGGGAGCCAATGGCTTGCGATTCCTGTTCTTCCTAATTGCGGTCTTGTGAGAAACAGCCCTTTTGCCTCTCCCCCAGCAGGGAGAAGATGCCAGCCAAACATTGTCAAAGAAGAGCCAAGAACTTGGAAGGCAAGACAAAGGGAGAGAGAGAGAGAGAGAGAGAAAGATTAAAGTCTCTTTTCTTTTTTGTTAAAAAAAAAGTTTGTTCTTTACAGGCCTGATAGTATGCTAATTGAAATGCTTATAGGAACACATAACACTGTGAAATGAAAATAATTTTTATTTTTAAAATAGTAATTATTGTAGTTTTCAGCAAGAATAGGCAAAGTTTTTTTTTAATTCACTGCCAAGTTCTTCTCTTCATTGTGAAATATATACGGATCAGCCTATGGTTGCCATTTGTTTTTCTCAAATAAACAAAATGTAAAACTAAAATAAGGTGACTGTAGCTTTTTTTTTTTTAAAAAAAGCAAGTTTTTAAAAGGCAATCATGCTAAGTAGCAGCGGACTAGTTCATGGCGTATTTCGCAATGTTTGGCCATAGTTAAGTAACTACCGTATTTTTCCGTGTATAAGACTATGTTTTTTTCTTTAAAAATTATGTTTAAAATTGGGGGTCGTCATGGATAGTGTATAGTGCAAATTTCTTAAACTTGAGTCCCCCCAAATAGCGGGTGTCTTATACATGGGGGCGTCTTTTCCACGTAAAAATACGGTATGTTTCTAATGGACCAGTGAGGTAACCCTAGAGATGAACACAACATTGGTTTATATTAAGATGTGTGGTGTGGGGCAGGAGTGGGCAGAAGGTAGACCAGCATCTACTGCTGGCTCTGGGTGATTCGCCACTTAGCAGGCCAGCAGGCGCACTGGCAGTGCCCACCTGGCATTCCTGCCAGGATACCAACCTCCCTACTGCCTCTCCCCCCTTGGTGAGCAGCAGCGATGCCACTTTCCGGAGGCCAGGTGTACGGCAGTGACCCTCTCCATCAGCTCCTCCTGGGTCTTGGGGAAAGGTCTTCTCCACAACTTCATATCTGGCCCTTTTCACTGGAGATGCCACAAACTGAACCTGTTGCCTGCACACTCACAAAGACAAGGACTCCTCCTGGCCGCGGGAAAGCAAAAAAGCAGTTTGACTATTGTGGGGTTTATACAAAATGGTATCAACAATAGGAACACTTCTTTCTGTATGCAGTGCACCCTGGAAAATAATCATACTGCTAAACCTCAAGTGGAAAGTAAGTATCGTATTTTTCGCCCTATAGGGTGCACCGGCCCATAGGGCGCACCTAGTTTTTTTTGGGGGGGGGAATAAAGAAAAAAAAATCCCCCCCCAGGCGCGGGGCTTCCCCCGAGCTTCCCCCAACCCCAGCCCCCAGAACAGGCTGCTATCCGCAAGCCTTGGGAGCCCGGAGGGAAGTCGCGCCGGGCTCCCAAGGCTTGCGGAGAGCTGCCTGAAGCCCGGGGTGCGCTCCGCTGCGCTCCGCTGCGCTCCCCGGGTTTCAGGCTGCAGGCTGCTGTCCGCAAGCCTTGGGAGCCCGGCGGGAACTTGCGCACCGACCCCTCTCGCTCTCCAGGCTTCAGCGAAAGCCTGCATTCGCCCCATAGGACGCACACACATTTCCCCTTCAATTTTGGAGGGGAAAAAGTGCGTCCTATAGGGCGAAAAATACGGTATTTTGTGCATCAACACTGTGATTAAGGGCTTGTCAGAATTTCCACTGGAACCACACACACCCCGGCCTTCCCACCCTGTAGTTCATCGCAGTACCTGAGCAATTTCCAAATGATATCAAAGTGGGATTGTTAAGGGTTCACATGGAAGAAATCTGTGCAGAAAGGCATGGCATGCAAGCTATGTGTTTTGAAAGATATCGACTATTTTGTGTGTGAAGCTGTGGAAAACACAATCTCCAAAAGTATTCCACCGCCCAAGTTAATATAAATTAAGTTCTTAGCTACGGCAGCCAAGATTCTATCTACAGAAGGGTGCTCTTCTCAGCTTCGTTGGCAAATGGATTAAAAACATGCAGACAATTGCAATAAAAACAGCATGGCACCACCATGAATAAAGATGGTTCAATTTCCAATGCAAGTTTATTGTTCTAGCCAAAGGCCATGGCAAACCCACAGCAAGAGTGGCAATAAAACAATGCAAATCATACATTGAGAATATGAGCCAACATCCATGATGTAAGAGAGGTTATCGGAGACACCAAGAAATTCAAATCCAATTTGATTTCAAATGTATAACCTCTGAATCACCACAACAATTTATAGTGATTTTATCTAACACTTTTTTTCCTTCCCCCCCTTTTTTTTGCAGCCAGTGCATAGAGGGCCACTCTGCGTGTTATGGAGCTATTATTGTCACTCAGAAGAAACAAAACCATTTCTGTACCCCATGACCCTGAGATTAAGAGTCCCACGCTCTACCGACTGAGCTACCCTTAATGTTTTTACTTTACAATCAGTCTGATAATCTTTGAAGGTGATACCAGGTGAAACTCGGAAAATTAGAATATCGTGGAAAAGTTCATTTATTTCAGTAATTCAACTTAAAAGGTGAAACTAATATATGAGATAGACTCATGACATGCAAAGCGAGATATGTCAAGCCTTTATTTGTTATAATTGTGACGATCATGGCGTACAGCTGATGAAAACCCCAAATTAACAATCTCAGAAAATTAGAATATGAAATGAAATCAGCAGAACAAGGACTGCAAATAGAGCAATATTGGACCTTTGAGAAGTAGAAGCATGCATATGTACTTAGTACTTGGTTTGGGCCCCTTTTGCATCAATTACTGCCTCAATGCGGCGTGGCATGGATGCTATCAGCCTGTGGCACTGCTGAGGTGTTATGGAAGACCAGGAAGCTTCAATAGCAGCCTTCAGCTATTCTGCATTGCTCGATCTCATGTCTCTCATCTTTCTCTTGGCAATACCCCACAGATTCTCTATGGGGTTCAGGTCAGGCGAGTTTGCCGGCCAATGAAGCACAGTAATCCCATGGGCATTGAACCAGGTTTTGGTACTTTTGGCAGTGTGGGCAGGTGCCAAAGTCCTGCTGGAAAATGAACTCAACATCCCCATAAAGCTCGTCTGCAGAAGGAAGCATAAAGTACTCCAAAATCTCCTGGTAGATGGCTGTGTTGACCCTGGACTTAATGAAGCACAGTGGACCAACACCAGCTGATGACATGACTCCCTGAATCTCTTTTCTGATGAGAGCAGCTTTTGCATCTCATTTGGAAACCAACGACCCAGAGTCTGGAGGAAGAATGGGGAGGCACACAATGCCAGATGCTTGAAGTCCAGTGTGAAGTTTCCACAGTCTGTGTTGATTTGGGGAGCCATTTGGCCCCAGTATTAGAAACTGAGATATAAAAGCTAATCGTCAAATGGCACCTAAACCTAGGTTACAGTTGCCAGAACAGAATGTCTAGGCACTTTTTTGTTTGTTTCAGTGGAATTTTTAATTATTATTAATTTCAATTCTTTACCACTTTATATTTAAAGGAAAATTCTCAAAGTGGTTTACAACACATTAAAACATCAAATAAAACAAATTCAAGCTTCAAGGAAAATAGTTCAGATCCTTCTCTAAATGACGTTTTGCTTTCCCATATTTATTTATCTATCTATCTATCTATCTATCTATCTATCTATCTATAAGATGCCCCCTATTTTGGGGGCCTCAAAATTTAGAAAATAGGGGGGGCATTGAGCTTTTGGGGAGAATTATTTGGGGGGGATGCCGAAAATCGCTCACCTGCCAGAACGCAGCACACAACCGTTCGCGTCGCTTAAAATTGCTGCTTACAATCTGGGGCTCTCACTTTGTTCCAGCGGGTGAGCGATTTTTGGCATTGGCCGCTTGATTGTTTGGGGGGGGGGATCCCAAAAATCGCTCACTCGCTGGAACGCAGCACACAACCGCTCGTGTCGCAGCTGCCTGATCGCTGCCATTAGCCCTCCTACTTGCCGCTCGCATCGCAGAAACCACCTATCAGCTCCCCGATCGCCGCCAGCGGCCGCCAATCACGCTCCCGCTTGCTGCGACAAGGGCAGCTGTCTATTGGCTGCCGCAGTGGCAAGCAGGAGGGCTAAAGGCGGTGACCAGGCAGCTGCGACGCGAGCGGTTGGGTGCTGCATTCTGGTGGGTGAGCGATTTTCGGCATCCCCCCCCCCCCAACAATCAAGCAGCCAATCGCCACTTACAATCCGGGCTCGCGCCAAAAAACCATTCACACATCCCCCTTAGCATTACCCATATATAAGACGAGCGTAAATTTTGAGCCTCATTTTTGGGTAAAAAAAGCTCATCTTATACATGGAAAAATACAGTATATAGCTGTCCCATAGCAGAAGTACTCTAAGAAAACAGTGTGGTGTAAGACTAGAGTGTCAGACTAGGACCTGGGGGATCAGGGTTCAAATCGCCACTCAGTCATGAAGCTCACTGGGTGACCTTGGCCAGCCTCTGAACCTACCTCACAGGGTTGTTGTAGGGATTAACTGAGGAGGGGGTGAACAATGGACTCCATGGAAGAAGAAGAAGAAGAAGAAGAAGAAGAAGAAGAAGAAGAGGAGTTTGGATTTGATATCCCGCTTTATCACTACCCTAAGGAGTCTCAAAGCGGCTAACATTCTCCTTTCCCTTCCTCCCCCACAACAAACACTCTGTGAGGTGAGTGGGGCTGAGAGACTTCAGAGAAGTGTGACTAGCCCAAGGTCACCCAGCAGCTGCATGTGGAGGAGCAGGGAATCGAACCCAGTTCACCAGATTACGAATCTACCGCTCTTAACCACTACACCACACTGGCTCTCCACACCACACTGGAGAATAAGGTGGGAAAGAAATGCAATAAATAAGCTCTTCTGCTTACATTGATCCTGAAAATAAAGATTCCGAATTGAGTTTTGATTTGTACGGACAAAAGTTAATTATTTTTAACTCCAAAATCTGCTATGAAAACTTCCTCTGCCAAACCAAGGTACGGTAATCAAGTCCCCACTTCCTCGGCCCTTTTTAAATTTCTTAATTTAGCTGGCTCACTAAAAGAGTTACAACCCTGTAAAAGGGGGTGGGTGGGTTAAGTTTGTGCAACCAAGTCCCTTGCAAACATATTGTATCAAATTGCTGAAGCATACAAATAAAATCCTAATCTGCCTTTTTATTATCCCAACACGCCAGGTTGCACTAAAGATTGCTAAGCCCTTTCTGGATGTTTTATAGTTAGTTATGGTATCTTAGAGAAGAGCTAAAGGTATCATAATTTGCTTTTCTATAATTACCCCTATGCCTGGGCTTACCTTGAGCATTTGATTTCTGCAAAACAGATTGCTAGCAGGGTAGGAGTTTGAAACTTCAAACCTGGAAATATTTATTCCAACATCTACATTCAGGCCAATATTATGAAGTTTCCCGTCTTGTCTATTGCAGCATATCTATATATAATTAGGGTAGGGTGACAAAGGCAGGAAACTTATGGCTTGAGAACTTCCGGCACCTTCCTCTCAAGTTGCCTTTTCCAGACTGAAATTCCCTCTCTCTAGTACAGGGGATGAATATCTAACTTGCCATTAGAATGGGTGGGTGGCAGGGGCTTCCTTGGACAACTTTTTAATTCAAGTAACAGCTTTCTGTAAGCAAACATATGAATTAAAGACCAAACTTTATCCCATACATCTTGATCCTGAAAGATTAATGTGACACTGCCTACCTGGTTACAGTTAAGACAGGTATTCACAATTGACAGGCCCGAGGCAGAGGGTACTTGCTCAGGCTGCCCACAGTCATGACCCATCCAGCCTCAGCAGATTTGTGGAGTTTCCTAGGGGCTCCAGAGAATGGGGGAAAGGCTCCCCCCACTCACAGCTCTTTCTTCACCCTGTCCTCTCTTCCTCCTCCAGCTGCTTTTCCATGTCTGCTTGAATTTCAGTTCAGATTCTGTTTTCATTATACTGCTGGATTTCTTCACTGACCAGTTATGAACATCTGTGGAACATCTGGGGGCCTCTTTCTAGAAGAATCATCACTGGAAATATGACTTTCCCACTCATTCATTACCTTTCCAAGTGTGCTTATTAATCCATCACCCGCTGCCTTTTCCTCCTGTCTTTGCTTAGACCTATCCGCATCTTGATGTACCTCCAAACTATCACCAACTTCAGTTTCTTGTCTGGTAGGTCTCAACTGTGTCAGAATTCCTGCCTCCACTAACCCAACTAGTGCACCAATTATGGCATTCAAACCTTTCTCAGTGCAACAACTCTGCTCAATATTCCCTCTACTGTTTATTTTATCAAGAGACATTGGTCACATCAAAGTTCCCACAGTGCAGCTGTTTTAAAGCAGGCATTATGTGGAAACTCAATGGAACCTTGACCAGTATTCTTGCCACTGCATTTTGGACATTTTTGAGCTGTCTTCAAGGGCAGCCCCATCTAGAACATATTGAATAATGAAATCTGGACATTTCTAGAGCATGGAGAACAGCAGCCATGTCATTTCTGTCTAAAAGGGGCCACAACTGGCATTCACAGCCACCAAGGATGAGCCTTCAGTGCTGAATCTAGCAGCACTCCCAGGCTGCAGAGTATCTAGCAGCACTCCCAGGCTGCAGAGTACAATCACAACCAGGACAGGAGGTTCCTACCTCCTGGACATGAGAACTTGGCACCCATAACATCTCTGTCCTTTCAGGATTCAACTTCAGTTTGCAGGGCCACATCCAGCCTATCACCACCTCCAAGCATCATTACAACACCTCAGTAGCCTCTCCGGATTCAGATGGAACAGAGATGCAGAGCTGGATGTCACCGGCATATTGATTCTCACCAAATCTGGTGACAGCTCCCATAGGCTTCATATAGTTAAATTGCATGAGGGACAAGATGGAACCTCAGCGGATGCCATAGGACAGCTCCCAGGGTGCTGAACAGCAGCTTCCCACAACTACTTTCTGGAAATGGCCCCGGAAGTATGAGCGGAACCACGGAAACACAGTGCCCTCAACCCTCATCTCCCTGAGACAATCCAGAAGGATACCATGGTCAACAGTCTCAAAAGCTGTCAAGAGATTGAAGAGAACAAGCAGGGTCACACTCCTTCCATCTCTCCCATCAACCAGTGAGACTGAGATAGTTTCTGTGCCATGACCAGGCCTGAAGCCTAAGTAACCAGTTTCTGCAAGCATGCCTGAAGCTGGACCACCATCACCTTCTGGACGAGATGGGCCATTGGCCTGATTCAGCAGGCTCATCTTATGTTCAATAAATAATGAAAAGCAACCTTGAAGTGGCTGGCAATCTAGAGAAGGCACTTTAGCAATCTGAAAGCTCCTGCTTTGACCATGCCTTGCCAAGTGAGTGAAAAAATGACAGGTCTCCAGGGACACTACCCTGACACCTTCCTTCCAGTGAAAAGAAGGCAGCTCCATGAAAGGAGCTCTTGGGGCAGCTTCTCATGTGGTATTTGGAAGATGTCAGTGTGTATCTCCATGCCTTAAAAGGAGTGAAAGTTCCATATGAGAAAGGCAACACTCAGGTCTGCATCCACAGACATTTAGATCTGTCCTTGCAGATGTCTTGCAAATACACCTTCTCAAAAGAGTTGGCCCACACTTAACTTTAGTGGGCTCTCTGGCACTTTTATACGGTTTATCCTGCAAGCACAGGATAAATCAAATTAGTGGTACAATATTTCTAAAGCGTTTGTGGGGGGTATTGTTTTCGTTTGTTACTATGCTGTGTATTTTTGTGTGTGTGTTTTGTAAACTACTCTGTGATTTTCAGATGAAGGGTGGCATAGAAATTCAATCAATCAATCAATCAATCAATCAATCAGAGGCAGTTTGTTTTCCTTTTATATCATCATTCTCCCACCCCCTTTCGTATCCTGTCTTATTAGACCAGGAGTCTGCAACCCGCGGCTCCGGAGCCGCATGTGGCTCTTTTACACCTTTGCCGCGGCTCCGGGGCAGATACTAGCGAGGGGAGGAGGTGCACTGTGCGCCCCGACACTCCCCACTGTGGCGGGCGCTGTACTGGCTGTGACGTCACATGGGGGCGGTGCGTGCGTTAGTCACACACCGTCCCGACGTCACCTTCCCGGTTTTGCGGCTCCCAGGTTTTTTTTCTTCGGAAACGGGTCCAAGTGGCTCTTTTTGTCTTAAAGGTTGCAGACCCCTGTATTAGACTGTGAACCTTCAGGCAGGGACTGTCCTATCTTTTAATAACTGCGCAACACTTAAAAAAATTCAGGCACAATAACAACAACAACAACAACAACAATAATATGCCACCCATCTGACAGGGTTGCCCCAGACACTCTGGGCAACTTCCAACAATTTATAAAAACCACCATAAAACATCCAACATTAAAAACTTCTCTGTACAGGGCTGCCTTCAGATGTCTTCTGAAAGTCTTTATTCAACAACCACCTCTGTGGGTGAGAGAAGGGGGGGGGGTGCCCCAAGATACCTATGTAACATATGTAGTGCAAGTACAGCACAAAAGCAGTAAAACGTACCAGATAATAATACTAAACCAAATCAAAGATACAAATCTGTGCTGTGCTTCCGGGTATCTAAAGCAGCTTTTCTCAGCCGGGTGCCTTCTACATGTTTTGAACTACAACTCCCATCAGCCTCAGTAAGTATGCAATGCTGTCTGGGGCAGAAGTGAGTTATAGTCTCAAACACCTGGTGGGCACCCAGTTGGGAATCTCCAACATAAGCGTATATGTATTCATACAGAGATGACTTCTAGGATATAAGTTTGAGAGACCTGTTTTTTTACAGACACTACAAAACTTGTACTGGATGTAAAAATTAATAAATGCCACAAAGTTTCAGTAGAAGAAGGTAAGGATGCCAAGTTCAGCCGGCGTACAATACAGTTCTGATCCTACAAAAACTGAAGTGGTAAACTACTTTGGGGCTCCTCCCTTTATATGTATATCCGTAAATTATTGGTTTTGTTCAACCAACTTTTACTCAGAGTAGACCCACTGAAATTAATGACCCTGCCTAACTTAAATCCCATTAATTTCAGTGGGTCTACTCTGAGGGAAAGCTGGCTGAATAAAATCCTATGAAAATCTGTACAAGCAGAACGCAAAGCTATTCCACAGAATAAATAATCTGTTAAATTAAGTGTATTATTTGCATGAGAAAATCTCATGGAATTTCGGCGATTGTAAACACAGCACACGCTGAAGGACACCATCGTCAAACACTTTTACTACTCAAGAAAAGTACACATTAAAGTTGTATTTGGTTCCACAGCTTTTTTAAAAAAAAATCACTGCAGTCAGGTATTTGGAATCAAACATTGTGTGATGGTATCATGCAGAGTACTGGTTGAAAAGAGTAGCTGGAATATAAAGCATCAATAGGGCTTCTAATAGTTTGAACTACCAATAGACAAGCTAAAAAGGGCAAAAGGCAATAATTCAATGGATTTTGTGCTGTGTTTACTTAAAGCAGACTATAAAGTAACACACCTTTTTGCAGCACTTGTCAGTTCTGCAACATATTGATTTATCTGCAATTCCCACCCCCGGGACATGAGATATTAGGAGGGAACTGAAACCAGCGATTTGCATCACTTTCAAAAGGGGACAGGGGAAATCCCTCTCTCGTATACTTGACTGATTTCAATTCACTTCTGACATCAGTTTCTTCACTCACTTTATAAGTGTATACAGTCCTGTAAAGCAGACAGAAAGCTATGTTGAAAGATGTTCACATTTCTGCTAGAAGAAAACCTGATTGCTCTGAAAGACATTATGTCACGCTGTAGTGTTAAAAAGCACACAGTTGCCTATTCCCTGCTGAGTTGCCAACTTTTTATCCAGCAAGGCCCCTGTGCATTTAACAGCTTTAAGACAAACAGAAATGTAGTAGGAGATTACTTTTCCTGTATTCCACAGAATATTTCTGAATATTAATTTTTAAACGCTATGCCACTGTTAGAAATACAGGAGCTTTGTTCAGGAAAGTGTTGGCAACCCTATTTCCAAATCACTTTGATGCAAATATATTCCTAACAGTATAACTAGAAGCCTGTCAGAATGCCTACTCACTCAAGCATGCCATTGATCACAATTAAAGAAGCCAATTTTTATTTACCAAAGTTAAACCATCCTTTTCTTATTACAGCTTTCGTTAACAATGTGGTTTTAATTTAATCTGCAGCCCAATCCCAAACTGGACAAAAGCCCAAAATTATATAGAGAATTGCAATTTAACACTCCACGATAAGTAAAACCAAGAGGAACTATTTACATCAGATCTGCAGTACAATGCCAGCATGTTAACTGTGTTAATTTACAATAATGTATGGAAAATTAATCTCTTTGCCTCTTCCACACGAAACAGTGAGCTTTAAACACATCTCTTAACAAAAATTGAAGCTGATCACAGCCAGAAGAATCGCATAACTTATAAAGGAAATTATTTCCAGAAGTCGACATTAACGAGAGCAAAATCTGCATGTGATCATAACCAAAAGGTTAGCATACTAAGGTGTTGGGTTTTTAAAAAATATATAATGCGCAGGAGTGGAACCTGTTAAATTATCTTTAAAGTCACGTTTTTCTCCAGCCCAGCCTGTCTCCCTAGCACACACACTCCTTTCCTGTACTTGCTAGAGGACAAAGTAATACCTGACAGGGAGGCAGATTTCCAATAGCTACCCATCTGTCAAGGCAAACTCCCGCTCCAAAGAGAAAGATTATTATTATTTTTAAACCCAACACACAGACGCACACACATTGCAAGCTTTAATTTAAGGTGCCTAAAAGAATCAGGTTGGGAGAGAGAGGTGCAGGCAGACTGCCCTGCTCACCAGACTGAGAAAAGGGAAATAATTCTTACATAAGCATTTGCTTTACAACTGGACCTCTTCAGACTCCCCGCTTCCTTCCTCCCTCTCTCTCTTTAATACCGAGTTTCACGCACAAAATGGGACGGTTTTGCAGCAAAGCATGCCTCGCTGTAAAAAACAAAACAAAAACGCTCGCGACGACTGACCATAAACAAATGGCCATCGTCCATACTCCAATCCGACATACCTGGGGCATCCCATTGATCTCGACAGGCCTTTAATTCCTCGTAACCAGTTCCGGATCTAGGTGCTCGGGGCTAACTCGGTGGCAAGGTGAACAGACCGAAAGCGTTTAAGGAACCGGGAGCCGCAAGTGCCATTGCCAAACCTCAGCACCCAGGTCACCACCCTGGGTGAGGTTAGGATCCCACCGCAAGGAGCCGACGCACTCTTTGGAAAGCGAGTTCTCCCTAACCCCGCTGGCCCTTCCACTCCCCCGCACCTCGCTTTTTCTTTCGATTCAGCACTTTCCATTAATCTACAACTTGCTGCGGAACCCCCCCCCGCACCCTCCCCTCCTGCGAGCTCAGCTGCGTCTGAACTCTAGTAACCCCTCCAAAGCTCGCTGCCAGACCCAAGCGGCAGCAAAAGCAGCCTCCAGACCTGCGCGCAGCAAGGAAAAAGGGGGCAGGGCGGGGAAAGGGGGGGGGGCTTCCCAGCATTGCTCTTGAAAGGGGGCGAGAGAGAGAGAGGCTGCAATAACTCAAAGGCACTGTGCAACTCTCCCATGAATTTGGCGACGTATCGTGGCAAATGGGGAGGGGGTGTTCGCAAGGCCTTTAAGAGGATCCAGGCAGGGAAGACCCGCCCCCCCTTCTCAGTCACAGCCTCCCGGCCTTTTAAGCAGCCAAGCCAGGAGTTTGGGTGGGAAAGGGCCATAATAAGAAGGTGGGAGGGGATGGAGGAGGCCCTTGTGGGGAGGGAAGATCTTCAGGAAACGAGAGGCGACCGGGTTGGGGGGGGGTAAAAAGACGGGCAGATCTGGAGAAGAGGGAGGCGGTGTTGGCAACGTGGGCGAGGGTTTGGAAAGGATCGGGGGTGGGGTCCAAGGAGGAGATCGGGGAGCGGGAGGGGATCCGGGAAGGGCCCCGAGGCTCCGGAGAAAGGGCCGTTAGGAAGGCTAGGGAGTGGGCATGCTGGGCGGGGGCGGGGTGGGGATGCAAGCGGCTCGGGCGCTTCTCCATCACCTGGGCTGTGCGATCCGCCTCCGCCCCAGCCGGGGGGCTTCGGATTGTTCCGCTCGCTTGTTCGCCCGCTCCTCCGCCTTCTCCTCCTCCGCCTCCTCCTGGCGGCTCCTACAGCAGCTGCCAAGGCTCCATGCCCGGCCTGCGTCGGCTCAGCGGCACCCGATCGGCCTCCACAGGCAGCATCGTCGTGGTCGTGGTCCGCCTGCCGGCGAGCGCCGCTGCCCCATTAGCAGGCGGCCATGGGGCCCTCCGCGGTGCTGCGCTCTGCGCCTGCAGCCAGCTCCCAGAGCAGCCCGTCCGTCCCCCTCCTCTAGCCCTTGCTGGCGGAGAGCGCATGCGCCCGCCCCGCCGAAACAAAAAGTCGCTGCTGCTGCTGCTGCTGTCGCGGCCGGCGCGCTGCTCGGTTGGCGGGCGGGCGGGGGCAGGACGCGGCTGGCTCGCCCTCTCCTGGGCGCCTCGGAGCTTGCAGGTCCCTTTCCTCGCCCGCGGGGCCAGTCCAGCCGCTCCGCGCGGGAGCGGAGCCCAGCCAGCGCGGCCGCAGGTGGCCTAGCTTGTCGCGAAAGGCGGGATGGAAATCCGGCGGAGAGAGAGAAGGTTCCCTCGGGGTGATCCCGCTGCCTGATTCTAGCTGCTCAGGAGGAAGCCCCGTTGTGTTCGGGGACTTCCAAGTAAATATATATAAATCGAGGATTCATAAGCCCAACTATATAAATCTAATAAGAAATGATATTCCACGGCTTTTTTAATGTGTTTGTGGGGGCGTTATTGTTTTGCTGCTTTTTATCACAGTATTTATTTTTTTACCCTATGAACCGCCCTCGGTAATATAAATCTAATTAATAATAATAACAGTAATAATAATCACCTAGGAATTTGGGATTGTGGCGAAATACTATAATTGCCTACTAGGAACTAACAATAAATTATAATTATTACTCCGCCTATCTGATTGCGTTGTCCCAGCCACTCTGGACGGCTTCCAGAATAATATAAAAACACAGTGAGACATCAAACATTAAAAAGTAAGCCCTCTGCATTAAAGGGAGTGCTTTCTCTAGTCCAGGATCAGGTGCAGACCTCCTAAGCCTGTCCCAAGGTATACAGTAATAGGTTTTCTGGAAAAGAAGATGGTCCTTTTATGGACAATAGCAAAACTTCCCTTAGGACCTGGCCTGATGCTTCATCAAGAAATCAATTGGGCACAGCCGGGTAAGGTCAAACCCACCCAGTTCACTCATCCAAGTCTCAGTAATGCAAACCAGATCATTCTCTTTGCTGGTGATCCAGTCCTGAATGATCATGATGGTGGACTGCTCTGGCATTCAATAGCAGCACAAACCAGGGAGACTTGGTGGATAGCCTACCAGTATCTCTAGAAGAAGGAACAGAAATCAAACGATTTCTAACTACCCACGTGGTAGTTAGCCTCTCCACCTGAACCCCCACCCACTGAAATTGAGGAAGCATCTTAGCAATTCCTAGCTACATGCCCAGCAAGACACATTTCAGCATTCAATAGCCAAAGGCAGTTTTAAGGTGCCTGAGCTGGGCACTGTGCTGCAGGGACCACCACAACAATGCTGTAGAACAGAGCGTGAGAGGCGGTCACATAGGGCACCACTGAAATTGGAGAGCCCCAATTCAACCACTGCGATATCAACCTATACTGTACTTAAGAGTCACAAATATCAAACTAAGGCCCCGTAATATGTGCATTCCACTCTGTCAGGAGAGAAAAAGTCCATTTCAGCTCTCCTCCCCCGTCTCTCACAATGGGGGAGCCCCACTTAATCAAACTTTCCCTCAACCAGACTTGTCACCCATAGTGCTTAGTCTATAATCCCACAAGTAGGGGCACCCCTATGTCTTCCCCAAGTGGCAACCCCACCACATTGCAGAGCCTGTGGTAGGTCCATCCAGACAATGTCCCACACTGCAATTGGCACAAATGCTCTCAAACCTACTGATTTGCATTTAAGGACATTTGAATTATCAGCAGCTCAGTTTTGACCTGATTAGATCAGTTCCATCTGAGGATCTGAAGTCCAGTGCTCAAGTAGGTCCGTTTTGAACTAGCCGTGGTGACTTCTTGAAAATAGCTAGTTTTGCAGTGTAATGCCTACTCGAAGGCATAGAAATGTGGGCAATGTCCTTCTGGAAAATAACTTTTGGCTCAGAATGATGTGCAAAGTGGGACTGTGTGGCAGCCATTCCAATGAGCTTCAGAGCAGAGGGAGAGAAGAGAAGCTGCTGGGCTGCTCCAGTGCTTCTGCCGACAGACCAGCTGCCTGTGGCTCCCCCTCAGTCTCCACCTGGCAGCAAGTTTTCCACCAGGCTACCTGAACTTACTCCATCCCAGCTGGTCCTTAACAGGTCTGTGGCCTTAAGATTTCTGAGCTTGGGTTCTTGCTCCTTCACATCCCTTTTTCCTGGTGCCTGTGTCATAACTTTTAGATGATAAGCTGGAGGGCAGGGATTGCCTAATTACTGGTTTTTGCAAGCTCCTCTTGAAGTCTTTTTGGTTAAAGGCTGGGGTTTTTTTTTCAATTAGAAAATGTTACTGGAGTCTCTTGTTTCCTGTTTAGTGGAAAGTTATTTGAGGATGTGGGTTTGAGCTCTCCCCCTCCCTTGCTGAATCAAATGCAAATCTGAATGCAAAGCAGATTTCGTCGCTATGTTTAATTTGTGGGGAGCACTTTAAAACCATACAAATGTGGTATATAAATGCTCAGTGATGCTACCACTGTTTCTATTATTATTATTATTTAATGTTTTAACATTTTAATTTTTGTTATATGAATAACATAACTAAATAAAGCATTACAAACAGAAAACACAGAGGACAAAGAAAACATTCAAAAGCATAGATATGTACCTAAAATTAAAACACAAAAGGTCAAAAGTACAACGAAGCATTCCAGACCTCAAGAGATACTGTCTGTAACTGATATTGTAGATTGTTGCTGTTAATATATATAAAATAAAGTTCCACCAAATTGCACTTAAAAAGTTTCAATGCATTTCCGCATCACTTTCCAACCATAGTCTGTTTTTTGGAAAAGTGGATTTTAAAATGTGCACACCTTAAGTGCACACCTCAAATCCTTACTACAAAATAGTGGCTGTCTGGAGGCACCTTTCATTCTTGTGCTATCTTTCCTCTGGAACTATTATAATGCTGTATTAATACTTAAAAAAAAATATCAAAGATTTCTTGATTTACAAAAACACGTGCATTGTCTCTTTTTTCAAGTTGCATTTCCTACAGATCAGTTCCATTTGTTGTGAGACATTAGTGTTACATACAATATTGCTTCTATTATTATCATTACTCTAACAAAGCAACAGGTTTAAGGCCAGCAGCGTAGTACTCACACTCACTCTCTCTCTGTCTCTCTCTCTATATATATGCGTTGTGAGCTGCTTTGTGGACTCCAGTCAAAATGTAGGATATGAACCTTCAAAACAAAGTAAAAAATAAGTATGTGCTCAGGTATATCTCTCACCGTCTTTTTTCACGTGTGCCTGTTATCTCCAAAAGAAGATACAGCGGTAGCTTGGGTTACATATGCTTCAGGTTACAGACTCCGCTAACCCAGAAATAGTATCTCGGGTTAAGAACTTTGCTTCAGGATGAGAACAGAAATCATGCTCCAGCGGCGCGGCAGCAGCAGGAGGCCCCATTAGCTAAAGTGGTGCTTCAGGTTAAGAACAGTTTCAGGTTAAGAACGGACCTCCGGAACGAATTATGTACTTAACCCAAGGTACCACTGTACTGTAGATAGATCACAGAAATCGAGACTAAAACATATAGTTGTATTGCATACGTCCAGTGCACATGTTATGTTCTACACTTGGTAAGCACCCATTTGATAACCAGTGCCCTATCACATGGACAGTATTTTCTACATTGCTGACAATGTGAACTTTAAAGAAGCAAACACAACTCATCTATTTTTCAGGTCAAGGGCCAGATCTCCACTTGGACCAGGGGCCACATGTCAGTAGTGGGCAGGGGCACCAGCAAAAGTGGGTGGAGCAACAGATATAAATACGATCTTTGCATGGTGGGCTACTTTCTCCTTATCCTCCATCTGGGCAAGCAAAGGGCAGGATCCGAGTTCAATAATACATTTCAGCCAGAGAAAAACACTTAAGGAGGGTGTGAAGCAGGGGACCAGTGAGGGGTGTGGCCTGAAGAGAGTTCTGAGGAAGGCCGGTGTTTCCATGAGGCCAGGCAAAGCAATTTGCCCCAGTAGCAGACCCACCCCTGCCATTGTACTGCTGCTAGCCCCTCCCTGGCTTCAACTATGCCACAGCACTCTTGCCTTTGCTGTTAACGCTGTGCCCTTGCTGCTGCATAGTTCTGGCAGCATGGGTGCATCTGTGGGTGAAGATGCAGTTGTGGTGCTGAGGCTGGCAGGCCGTTGGCAGAGGGGTGTTTCGCCTACAGCAGCAAAACATCCTAGGCTGCTCCTGATCCTCTGCCAAGAGAGGCTTGAAGAGCCACATGACTCTCAGGCCAGAGTGACTCCCCTGGTGCAGGAGATTACAATGAAGGGGAAAGTAGGAAATTCAAGCAAAGCTGTGCTCCTCTTCGACAGCAATGAAGTGCTGTCATAAGCTTTTGAAAAATACATTGTTTTCCTTTGAAGGCTATGATTTTTTCAAAAACCCTCCAGCATTGGAATGCGTGGCTCTCCTTTCTATTTGTTGCTGTTTAAAGGAGCGGACAGACTTCCCCTCCCACAGCAAGAATAGACCTCCTGCAGTCAGATTCCTCCCCCCCCCCAACCATTTGTGTTTGAACAGTTGTCATGCTGTAGCTGGAGGACGGAGTCCTAGTGCAAGCATAACTGCAAAGATGGAAGGCGATCACTCCTAAACACACACACACACACACACACACACACACACACACACTTTTCTTAAAGTCATATGCAGTTTGCTTGCATGGATGCGCCAGTATTGCACATGTCAGGTACCCTTTGTGCAGGCTTTAGGGCAAAGCACAGGCTTCAGATACATGAATATGTGAGCAAATTGCACTAACAAACAAATATCCACAGCCAGCCAGGAGGATCAGGCTAATCCGAGGTCATGCACGTTCACAAATATCAATGATTTCCCCAAAACAAAGTTAATACGAACGCCTTCATTTTTAGAGGAATGTGGGGGAGGGGAATGCTGAATTCTCCCACACCTGTGGCTCGAGGTTGGGGAATATTAATTTCCTCGCTTGCCAAATCTGGAGAGATTATTTGTAATAACAGGGCTTTTTCTTAGTGTGACCTAAGGCTCATTCACACTTTCGCTTGAACATATTGTGTATCAATTAATTCCTCTGGATCTGAGAAATTGTTCCTCTGTAGCTGTGCCTTGCAAAAATCAGATCTTACCTGCTGAATCAGATCTTATCAGGTGCACGGAAAATTAAAAAAAGA